TGTCCACCACATAAGAGCACCGTTTGTGATGTCACATCTGAGGTGGAGCTTGGTGGGCCATGTAGAGGCATTGCCCCCCTCCCTCCCCCCCAAAGTGAATGTTCAGCACAGCTCCAGGGCTTACAGCTTTGTCCACTTGCCCTGTCTGACAGAGCCTGCATGGAGGGCATAGGTACTGGGGAGTTTGGGAGGCAGAAGAGAGGGATTTTGGGGGGGGGGGGCTTCTGCGGTCAGAGGAGCATCTGGAAAGTTTCTTCTGTCTTTCCTCAGTATCTGGCTTGCAAGCGGTGGTGGTTGCTATTTTGCAGTGGGGAGTATTGGGGACCCCCTGTGCACTGAGCTGTCCCCTCCATCTCGGTTGCTGGCAGCAGGATGTGGATGTGCTATTTTGCAGTGGGAGATCAGGGGACTGCGCTCCCCAAGGTATTTACCTGTCCCCTTCCCCTCTCCTATCTTTACTGCATTTTCCCCCTCCATTGCAGGCTGTGCATGGTACCCTCCCCAATCATCCATCCCTTGCCAGTGTGGAGCATGAAGCTGCACCTGGAGCATCATCAGCCTGTTCCCAGTAGCTGCACTCAAGCATTTTGCTGACTGGGGCCTCCCCTGCCCCATTCTCCCCCACCCCACAATTTCTTCCCCCTACAGCCTAGCTGACCCACACTTTCCAAAACACACTTAACGCTTCATATGCTTTTAGTCAGACAACACTGTAACAGCAACATGTGCTTAGGAGCAACATAGCAAAAGAGCACCTATATGTTGCTACCAAGGAATGTCTACTGTATTCAGACAGGTATTATAATGGCTACATTAGTCACTAAACTGTTATTGGAGGTTAACAGCCATTTCAGTTGTGCAAAAGCACACTCCACCATTGACTTGTGCCTGTTGATTGGTTATAGTTAAAGTGGTAGCTGTCTGTATTTATGTAGTCTGTGGTTTCATTAACCATTGTAAAAGTGAGCATGCACAGAGTTACCCAGAATTAGTAGGGATGAAAACCCTTTTAATGTCAGTGTTGTTTGATAGACCTGGAGACCCTTTCTAGTCATTCTTGAGCTTGTTTTTTGAAAGTCTAGCATCATGCACTTTGCCATAGGTACACACGCAGGAACCTTCTGCAATGATCAATTAAGACTTGTGTCAGCATTAGTAGTAGCCAGGGCCCATGTATTTAATGTTTATGGAATTCACCCTTTACCCCTAAAGTGTGCTCCAGCATCTAGCCTTTTGTTAAAATACATGTACCTTATTTCTGTTATAGTTGAAAATAAATGCTTGAAATGTGAACCAGTGCATTCACATACACACAGAATTTACAGAAAGCCTGAAACAATACCTTTGAGAGGTGTAAACCACTTAATTTATCTTAATGGATTGTAAATTCTGAAACCTAAAGATAATACTCTGCAGCATACTGAAAATAAAGTGCTGGGATAGTATAAAATAAATTGAATGTAATAATTAAATATAGGCACATCTGATGGTACTGTAGAACTTCAGAGTTATGAACACCAGTTACCAACTGACCAGTCAACCACACACCTCATTTGGAACTGGAAGTACACAATCAGGCAGCAGCAGCAGAGAATAAATAAAATAAAAAAGCAAATACAGTACAGTACTGTGTTAAATGTAAATTACTAAAAAAAAATAAAGGGAAAGCAGCATTTTTCTTCTGCATAGTAAAGTTTCAAAGTTGTATTAAGTCAACGTTCAGTTGTAAGCTTTTGAATGAACCACCATAACATTTTGTTCTGTTACGAACACTTCAGAATTACGAACAATATCCCCCATTCCTGAGGTGTTTGTAACTCTGTGGTTCTACTGTATTATTAAATTGCACATATAGTTCTATAAAACCTATCTTTTAATTTAAATCAATAGAAGTATACTATATTTGAGACAGCTGTAGGGAATTAGGACACTTGCTTTTTTTGTAAGCTAAAAAAAGTAGAAACTTTTCAGCATGAATTAGGAATATAAATGAGGTAGGGAAATTTGATAAAACTATGTACTATGATATTTAGCAATTTTTGGCTCAGCTTTTTGCATTTTTTTAGGAAGTGGAGGACTATGAAAGATTGACTTCAGGAAATATTTCAAAAGTTGTCTTCGTTTGTCTCCATTTGAAATAGTTGTTAATGTGCATGGGTTGGAGCAATTCTGGAGTTCTCAATCTTTTTCCTTTGTGCAGATCACATTTTTATTAAAAAGAAAAGGAGTACTTGTGGCACCTTAGAGACTAACCAATTTATTTGAGCATGAGCTTTCGTGAGCTACAGCTCACTTGAGCTGTAGCTCACGAAAGCTCATGCTCAAATAAATTGGTTAGTCTCTAAGGTGCCACAAGTACTCCTTTTCTTTTTGCGAATACAGACTAACACGGCTGTTCCTCTGAAACCTGTCACATTTTTATTGTGAGACTGCTTCATTATTAACTCCCTTAATGATCATGCTGAACACTTACCTGGCCAAATGCAACAGCATAACATCTTAGTACTAACTACAACAATTTTTTAAAGGAAACAAAATGTATGCAATTTTAGCTATCTTTTCATGTGATTTTTGTCTTTTGTATGTTACCACCGCTTTCTGAAACATGTCCTCTTCCTTTGCACCTAGTTCCCTGCCACTTTTTCCTGGGACATGCTTCCCAGGCAGCTGATCCTTTCTTCCACCTACTGTCCTGACATACTGGCAAATAAGCTCTCTTTTCCTTTTATGGATCAACAATGCACACTAATGGAGCTAGGCTAGCTCTTCCTCATTTCCAGCTGCTTTTCTTGGCATCCAGGCTCTTATTATTATTTATCTATCTAGTAGCAGCACCCAAAGGCCCCAATCAGGATAAGTGCCGCATTAGGTTAAGTACTTTACAAGCACATGAGACATTATCCCTGTAAGCTTTTCAGAACAGTGTAATTTCAGGAGACACAAATGTGTGTCTGACACAACAGGAGAGAAGATGAGAGTAATGGTAATGTGTGGATTCTGGACAAAGATGGAAGCACCTGAAAAGAGCCAACTCCAGATTACCTGCCAGGTCTTTGCTCTCCAGAGCACCAGTTCATGGACCACAGTTTAAGAACAGTTTGTTTAATTAATAAATTGGTCTAATTTTATAAGACCAATTAATGTGAAGATACACAAATAATTTTAAAAGTTTTTGGCCTGAATTACAAAATTAAAACAGAAATGGACTGATAACATTTTAAAATAAATGAAAATAATATGATAGTACCAGTAGTGCAAGAGAACTGGACAGTGAATTTAACTATAAAGAGAAAATGAAACTGACAGTTTAGTTTCACTATCCAGGCTCAGTGAAGGGCATTAAGTCAAACAAACATTAAAAATTGTAATGGTTCTTCATCTTCTACAATAATAAGGCAGTTTTAAGAGTTAAAGATGGTTGTTTTTTTTATGTGGGCAAAGTTGCCCTATACTTGCACTACCTCTTGGAGATTATGTGAACACAAAACCAAGTAGCTTCAAATCCCTACATGACACCTCATTCTTGTCACTCAATTATTAAATGTATAACTTGTTTTATTAAATGCATTTTTTATAGTTTAGTTATGCTACCACCTTTACAGGTTACTATAAATGAATTTGAAAAAAATCTTAATTTTCTTTTTTAGACTGCTTGCTTACTCTTTGAATTGCTCTTGACCCAACCAATGAAACTGGACTCCTGTTTTTCTTTTGTTACTAGTCAGTTTCACTTCATGGTTCTTACGCAATTCTGCAGTATTTGACTGGAAATATTGCTGACGTTTGTTTAAAAGAGTGCACACTGGATATTTCATTGCATGGAGGCATTTTTCCTTATAAATATTCTCAAAGGATTCTTAACTCAGTTGAAGACGGTCCCGAACTCCCAAAGCTGAAGGATTCTGAAGGGATGTACTCCTCTCTCCCCCTATTCAGTGGATAGAAGATTCCAACCTTGCAATCAGTGATATAGTTCATCAGTGCCCTCAGCTCTCAGGGTTTTTGTTTGCTTTCTCCGCTGAGAATGGAGAAATTCCCTGAATGCTCCTGTTAAAGACCTGGTCAGTCAAGTTTTTGATGTCTTTCTGTTACCATATAGAAGTATGGGACTAAAAAGGACCTCCTCCTGATGTATAGTCCTGTCCCCTGCCAAGGCAGGAAACCCCATCATATCATCCAATCCATAAATTTATCAAGCTCTATTTTAGTACTAGTTAGGTTTATTCCCTCTCTTCAGTCCTTTGATAGTTAGACACCTAATTTCCAGCCTAAATTTATCCATGGCCAATTTATACTCACTTGTGCCAGCACTCTCCTTTAGCTTACATAGTTCTTCTCCCTCCTTGCCATTTATTACCCAGTGTATATAGAGAGAGCAATCATATCCCTCTCAGCATTGATTAAGGTCTTATTGTTAGGGAGTGGGATCGATTGTACCAAAAGGTTCTTCTTCCACTTCTTTCCTGTTCAGACTTCATTGATTAGGTGACAGGATTGTTAGAGGTAAATCTGCTACTTATTTTTCCCCTTTTATTATTCCCTACAATATTAAGTTTATTGTTGAGTGGTGATACCATGTGAGGTATCATCAGCCAATCAGTCTACTTTCCATTGTTCTCCTAACCCTTGGTCCCCAAATGTAATCATATTGGTCATAATGCCTTAAAAGTAATCTACATCTAGACATACAGTATGTACTTTTGTGTGCTGAATGCCCTCAATAGGAGGACAGCATCTTCAGCAGAGAAGATAGTAAACTATTTTGTCCTTTTTGTGCTCATAAAACTGAGAGCAAGGTTTTCACCCAAAGATTTTTGATGAAGGGTGAGGGCAAGGCAACATGTTTCGCATACACCTTTGCCAAACTTTCCCCATTTGTAATCTACAGATTTTTTTTTTTGCACTTAGCACTAATTTTTTTTTTATTGCTGTGGCATCTTTAATAGTGTTACTATTCTCAATTTTAAAAAAAGTTTAACACATAATTAAAGCCATTTGAATGAAGTTAAAGGTGTTTTATTTTCAGACAACTTATGTTTTTATAATTTATTACAGAAATGCTTAGAGGTCTGCTCGAACTCCAAATCCAGGTCCTCTGGGGGGTTCAGTCAGAGAAGTAAGACCACCAACTGGCTCACAAGAAAAGCGTCCATTTCTGAAAAGATGAAAGAGCAATCAGATTTGTTCATCAGTATTGTAACAATCATCTTCTACCCATGAATGACAAGTCTGACTCAATCTTTGGGCTACCATTTTTCCTGTTTCTCCGAAGGATGAGCAGAGAGAAGGGGAGGAGGAACAACAGAACATAGTATCTGTAAAAATACTAGTGGTAAATCAAAGGCATTCAAGTAGAATGTCAAATATGGAACTTGATAACCAAAATACATACTTCATAGATACAAAAATTAAATCTATATGATTAACAAAAAACCAGGAGCCAATGGCTTTTTTACTCCAGCAGTACCAACGGCAACATCTGATTATTTGTTTCAGATCCATCTAGATTCATATATTCCAAGGCCAGAATTGACCATCATCATCATCTTCTCTGACCTCCTTGTATAGCACAGGCCATAGAACTTCCCCAAATTCCTGGAGCGTATCTTTTAGAAAAACATCCAATCTTGATGTAAAAACTGCCAATGATGAAGAATCCACCACAACCCGTGGTAAATTGTTCCCATTAATTACCTTCACTGTTAAAAATGTATGCCTTATTTCCAGTCTGAATTTGTCTAGATTCAATTTCCAACCACTCGATTGTGTTATACCTTTCTCTACTAGAGCCCATTATCAAATATTTGTTCTCCATATAGGTATTTACAGATTAATATAATCAAATTACCTCTTAACATACTTTGTTTTGAGTCCATCACTATAAGGGATGTTTTCTAACCCTTTAGTCATTCTCATGGCTCTTCTCTGAACTCTCTCCAATTTATCTGCATCCTTCTTGAACTGTGGACACCAGAACTGGACACAGTATTCCAGCAGTTGTGACACCAAATACAGAGGTAAAATAACCTCTACTCATTTGAGATTCCCGTTTATGCGTCCAACAAGGATTGTATTAGCCCTTTGGGCCACAGCATTACACTGGGAATGCATGTTCAGGTGATTATCTTTCATGATATTGTTCAGCATCAATTAGCTCCCCCATTCATACCTCTTCCTATGCGTTTGAAATTGTGCAGGAACAGTGGGAATTAAAAAAGGGGGAGGAGGGAAAAGACAAGTCAGTCTTTCACAAGGGTCAAATCCAGCCTAGGTTTGTAGGGATCAAAAGTCTACCAGCTTGTAGTGTTTTGGGTGATTTATGCAAAATAAGTTTGTGATTACATTCCACTTCCTATCAGGCATATAGCCACTTCAGACCCAACATCTCAACTGGCACTTTCTTTGGTAGTCTCAAACAGGCCAAGGATCGAAGAGTTCTGGACATGAAGTTTTCCTCTCACCTCTACACACAGCCTCTCCAGGTTCAAGTTTATGCATAAAGCAGGTCAATGTGGAAAATGTGTAATGCCTGTGCAGTTCAGTGAATTAATAATGCCTTCAGTTCTACAGTAATCACTCCAATAACTTTTCCTAGAACTAGTCGCCGACATTAAAAATAGCTTTCCTTCCAAAAAGATTTTCTCTTTCATTACTCACCCCTGTATTATACAAATACAATTTACCTTGGGCCAGGTTTGGGAACTCTGCCAGCCTTTAGTTCATCGATTATGTCTTCAATATCTTTTGGTGTCAGATCTTCCTGTAAAATGAAAGAGACCACGCTATTAAAGAAAATTTAAAACAACATTTGTAAGCAATTGTGTGAAATGTAGTGTTCACAATTCCTCAAAACAACAGTTTTTAACTTTTAACCGAATTCTTCACTCAGTTTTGATTCCAGCACAGATAACTACAATCCTATCAGTTAATACAGAGGTGGGCAAACTATGGCCCACGGGACCCTCCTGCCCGGCTCCATAGCTCCTGGCCCAGAAGGCTAGCCCACAGCCCCTCCCCTGCTGTTCCCCCTCCCCTGCAGCCTCAGCTCACTGTGCCACTGGCACAATGCTCTGGGCTCAGGGGGCTGCGAGCTCTTGCTGGGCAGCGCTGCTGCAGAGACGCGGCCTGACCTGGTGCTCTGTGCTGTCTCCAGCCAGGCAGCACGGCTGCCTGTCCTGGTGCTGTGGGCGGCACGGCTGTAGCACCGCCAGCCACCAGTGCTCCAGGCAGAACGGCAAGGGGGCAGGGAGCAGCGGGGGTTGGATAGAAGGCTAGGGAGTTTGGGGTGGTGGTAAGAGGGTGGAGATGTGGATAAGGGGTTGGGGCAGTCAGAGGGCAGGGAACAGGGGGGTTGGATGGGGCAGCGGTCCCAGGGGGGTCAGTCGGGGCAGCAGGGGGTCAGTCAGGGGCGGGGGTTCTGGGGCAGTCGGGGGACAAGGAGGGGTGGATGGGGAAGGGGGGCGCGTCAGGGAACGTAGGTTGGATGGGGCAGGAGTCCCGGGGGGGGCCATCAGGGGGTGAGAAGCGGGGGCAGGGGGTGTCAGATAGGGGGCAGGGGCCGGGCCACACCTGGCTGTTTAGGGAGGCACAGCCTGCCCTAACTGGCCCGCCATACAATTTCGGAAACCCGATGTGGCCCTCAGGCGAAAAAGTTTCCCGCCTCTGAGTTAATATATGCATCCAAGTTTAAAGAAGAATTAACAAACTTAAAAGATTTGAGTTTTATGACATTCTAATGTCACTCTTAGCAATGTTACACACTAGCAATTGTTAGTCAAAATGAACTGCTTTTAAGCCATTTCCGTTTCTAAACCAACACATAATGGCCATGTTTTAAAAGGGGCTGTGTTCAAGTACTAGGAGCTACTGTGTGAGCCAGCACTCTGACACCACTTAGTTGTCAGGGAGAAGGCTGAATGGGATGGAGGTAATTGAAGTTAATTACCTGATCAGGTCAGTGGAAGGGCTGGGTGAGCTAAAGAGCCATTCAGTCCATCAGCTCAAGACTGATTTAAAAAAAGGGCACAGGAAGGAAGGGAGGGGGAGAGGGACAAGGACAGGACTTGGTGAGTTCAGTGTCTCAGAAATCTCTCAAGCCCTGAGGAAAGGGCCGAGAGCACAGGGAACCACACTGTAAACTGCGCTGCTGCACGGAGCTATAGAGGTGTTGGTGAAAGGAACATAAAACGGCATGGTGTGAATACACCACCAGTGAAGTTGGCATGGTTTCTGTGGTATTAGAAGGCAGGAGCAGAGAATGCCCTGTTATATGTGGGCGCTTATCAGAGTTTGTGATTTCCCCATCCGTGGTGGCAGAGGATCAGACGGGGAGCCAGTGCAAGGATTCGGATCACGGCAATGGAGGAGAGTCTGCAATGGTTGGTAAAGCAACTAACGAGAAACAAGAGACCATGCACTCATTCCAGCAATCCCATCAAATGGAAAAGCAGTCCCTCCCTGCATAGCAGGCTGAGCAGCTGAACGGCCTGCAACACAGAACCTGATGAATCCTGTGACAGTGAACAGTAGTTGTTCCTGGGGGTTACCCTGTGCAAGATGGACCTAGTGGATGACCCTGACACATTTTCAGTGATTTTTGAGAGAGTAGCAATAGGAGCCAGATGGGATAAGGTATCATGGGTCTTCTGGGTGGCACCGTATTTATCACGGGAAGCCTAGGCTGCCTATATGGCCCTGTGCAAGGAGCAGGCCTACAACTACGATGTGGTAAAGGCAGTTATCCTGGACAGGGTAGGCCTTTGGCAGAACAATACAGATTTTGTGACACTAGGTACTCTTATGGAGTATGGCGCTTAGCCTTTCTGCAAAAGTTAACTGACTGGGCTCCCTGCTGGCTAAGGCCAGATATTCAAGGTGTGGAGGAAAATAGCAGCAGCCGTAATATTGGAAAAATTTCTCCAGAGCTTCCTCAATCATAGCATGGGCAACTGAGGAAAAAAGGGAGACAAGCGGAACTCCTTCAGGTAACCATGGAGTGCTTTGCTACCAGGGTCGGCTTCTGGGGCACATAAAGCAAGATTGCCCTGTCACGGAATGTGAGTTTGCAGAATTCTGCATGTGGACTACAACTAAAGGATGGGCAGAAGAAGAACAATCATCCCTGTAAAAGTGTGGAGGAGACACCAGAAGGGACTGACGGACACTGCCTCAGGATGCTCAATGGTCCAGAAGGATTTGGTGAAACCCAACAGGATGTTGTCAGGTGGAAGTTTACAGTTCAAATGCATCCACAAGGCAAGGAGACTCTGGTTAATGGTGGAGATACTCTTAAAGGTTAAAGAGAAATTTAAATGGAAGTAGGGGTGGCAGGTGGACTGCCTCATGAAGTCATTATAGGAACATATTGGAGCCACTTCCCTTATTACAAGAACAGGGGTCTGGGATCCCTTGCAGCAGGAAGCAGGGACACCAGGAAATGAGGCATGAGAGGGGAGAATCAGAAAACCCTAGATCAAAGGAAACAAGCAAGGAGGAAAATACGACCTCCCTAATGAAAGGGAGGGTAGAAAAAAGTAGTCCAGGACAAGACTCGGGGGGGGGGGGGGGGGAGTAACCCTAGTTTGTTTACAAGAGTTGGAGTCTCCCAGGAACCCTTGCCACCAGCACAGAGGGGAGAACCACCCCGGCACCAATTTGTGGGGCTAGGAGAACTAGGATCCCTAGTTATGGAGGAGAAGGGGGCAGCAACAGGTTCACAGTGAGAAGACCTGTGGGCAGAAACAGTTATGTGACTGCAGGTTGAGGCTCTCTGGGGGGCCAGAGCGAGCACAGAGTTTTGTGACTCCTCTAAAGAGGGGAGGTTGTGAGGAAAGCAAGGTGGGTGAGTATATGACAGTGCTGGGAGCTAGGTGAACCAGCACTCTGATCATTTTGACACCAATTAGCTCAGCCAGAGATGGCTGATGAGATAATCAGGTTGACAGGGCTGGGTGAGCTAAAGAGCCAATTAGCCCATCACCTCAAGACTCATAACATGGACACAGGAAGTGGAAAGAGAAAGCAACAGGGCTCACTGAGCTGTTTCACAGAGGTCTCAGAGAAAGGAGTCCTCTGCTCCTCTCATGATCTGGGGGAAGGGTCAAATGCAGAGGGGTCACTACATAGGACTGTAAAGTTGTTGGTGGAGGGAACATAAATGAACGGCATGGTGTGGATACACAACCAGTGGAGTCAGAGTGGTTTCTGCGGAGCTTGCCCTGTCACAGGCTGCAACTCATGTCTATCTGATTTATAACTGCAATTGCATAGACATCTAAATGACTTCCACTGTGCCAACAAAACTGTAGATGCAAAATGGAAGGCCAATTCTAAAAATAAAGTGCACTGTTAATATTCTTATTTGCATCTTGATTTTTTTTTAATGTTCCAGTTTGAAATATTGTTATTTAAAAACATTTCACTCAACAGCTAAGAACATTTTCTGTTTATTACTTTGGTTTTTACTGGTAATTGGAAGCAACCATACAGTCTAAATTTGCAAAGTTTAGAATTGCGGCAAACTACACTGCAACACAGTCCGAACTGAAATTGTTAAAGGAATGTGTTTATGAATTTCATGATTCTGTCTTGACAATTTGTAGACTTAATGGAGGCTTGTATATTCAGTTCAGAGCTCTTAATAGATTCTCAAATTATCACACTTGTTTTTTAAAAAGACATTAGCTAAGATCACTAATAGGTTTAAATCCTGGACTGCTATTGGCTACACTAATCACATGACTGCACAGTTCAGAACTATAAGTTGGTGAGTATCACAAAAACACAGCCAGTGTATCTGCATAAGAAAAAATGTTTAAAAGAAATTTTGAAGCCCGCTTTACAATCATATCTGGATTCCCTTTGTCTTATTTCTATGCTTTTTATCTCCCAATATTGTTTCATCTTCCCTTCCCTCCCCTTAAAGGCAAGGTTGTGGGTTTCCCACAGTGGCCTAATATTTTTTCAGGTATATTCAGCTGCAAGTGATTCTACCCGTTTCATTCTTTTGACCCATAATTAGTCATGCAAAAGGAAGAGTCAGGCAGTAGTGTTCAAAGCAACTGATGGAAGCTTTATGAAGAGAACCAGGTGCAAAAATGATACCAGACAAAGATATTCATTAAACTGCAGTCACAAAAGGCTGTTAAGAAAACTAAATCATGTGATGAAAGGCAAAGTACTGTCATGGATTAGAAACTGGTTAAGAGACAGGAAACTAGGAATAAATAATGCACTTTCAAGTTAAAAATGTTAATACTGGGGTGTTACAAGGTTCCATCTTACCAGTGTTTTATAACATATTAATGATCTGGAAAAGGGACTGAGCCATGAGGTTGCAAAATGTGTAGACCACACAATTATTTAGGTTAGTCAAGACCAGAAAAGACTTCGACAAACTTCAGCAGGACCTTTGCAAAGCTAGCTGGGATAGGCATCACAATGACAGATGAAATTCAACGTTGATAGATGTACGGTAACAGACCTCTCAGTGTTCAACAATGGTCAAAAAAGCAGAGAATGTTAGCATTCATAAGGAATGGGATGGAAAACACCACTATGTTATGTCAATGATACATCTTCAACTAGAATACTGGGTTGCTTTCTGGTCACCCTATCTCAAAGAGGACGCAACAGAAATAGAGGGTATTTAGAGATGGGCAATGAGAATGGCTATGCATGGAAAGATCTTAGATACGTAGAATGAAAAGCCTGAAACTCATGATAAAGGTCTACAAAACAATGAATGGTTTAGAGAAAGACTAGGTACTTCTCTCATCACCTTTTCTCATAATATAAAAACAAGGAGACAATGAAGCTGAAAGACAGCAAATTTAACATTTTTTCCTTTTATCGCACAATGCATAATTAGCCAATGGAACTCATTTACTGACAGATACTGAAGCCAACAGTTTAGTACAATTAAAACGAGGATCGTATTAGTAAATGTAGCAGCCAGTACTTCCCTTGGCCCGCGCCACTTCCAGCAGCTCCCATTGGCCTTGAGCAGCGAACCGCGGCCACTGGGAGCCGCAATTGGCCGAACCTGCAGACGCAGCAGGTAAACAAACCGGCCCGGCCTGCCAGGAGCTTTCCCTGCACAAGCAGCGGAAAAAGTTTGGGAACCACTGGTCTAGTACTTTTCTATGCATTCTTCCATAAAAGTGTCTTAGAAAGCATACTAGATTAGGCCACAGACTTCTTAAGAGCTTGGAATGAGTGATTAGCTCCCTTCATCACATACAATGCACACTGCACCAGGCTTACGACTCTTCAAGTGTCTTTTTGCACAGCAAGCTATGGAAAGCACACTGGGTAACACTGATCTACAGCTGCACGGCTCCTCTCCTGCAAACATTCTTAGATCAGGGCTCCAAGCACCTAGAGCCACATCAGTGTCTCAAATACCTAGTCCCCTGTCACTGTACCAAATGATCAAAGTCACTTTGGTGGCTTGAGTGCCTTTGGAGGCTTTTCTGTCTTTAGTATATCTGGGGAAAATGCATCACCCTATCATGCCTTAGTCTCGTCATCATCTCTGTTTGGAAAGTGCATCACCAACATGATGCCCAGGAGTACCCTACTCTTGCACATCTTATCTGTGTAGGAGTGTGTGCTGATGGGTACGCTGGGGCACAGTATCTGAACTAATAACTCTGCAAAGTCATCAGCACACTGGTTAGCTTCCAGCTGAGCTCCTAAGAAACCTAACAAAGATTGGCATATTGGGCTGTGACTATCTGAAATTCTTACTTCAATATTAACTTAAAATTTGACTGTAAGGTGCAGAAATTTATTGTGCGCTGAATCTTGACTTCATGAATCCAGTAAGCTTAAATATAAATGCCATCCAGTTGCTGTTCTCAAACTAGGACTGTCTAAAGTGTCATATCAATTTTTTAAATATGACATATCCATACAGATTTGCGTGGGGAGGAAAGGGTTTTTGGGGGGAGGTTTGGGGTGTTTTTTTTTTTTAAGTTTTCTTACTTTACAAATTGTTTCTCTAAATTTCAGTTACGGTAGAAAACTCTTCTGTTCACCACTGACAAGCCTCCCTACAGACCAATTTCCATGAGGCCCATCTATGCAAGAAAAAGGCTTAGAGACATCTTAAAATAAATGAAAACTCACATATCCAGCAGTCATTTGATTCCCTGTTTTAAGCCCAAAGTCAAATTGCTACTCTGAAATTCTTGTTTAAAATATTCATAACTTTAAATTACAGTTCAAACACCTAAACTTTGACCTTTTTCACTAGAACTAGATTAATCCAATGTTTGTCTTCTTTCTCTTCTCTTTTCCACTTTTATGCTTTCTAGTAACAAAAAACAAACAAAAAACCAACCTAAGACTTCTTGGACTCTTGATACTTTTAATGTCACATAACTTATGAACCCTTGTCTGATTTACTTAAAATTGGCTAGAAAAAGTATACCATGTTCAGAGAACTCATGTTGATAATGATGTTGAAAATATTTTGAGAGGGAGGAAGGGAAGAGGAAGAGGGGAGGGCTCGCAAAAAAAAAAATCAAGGAAAATCTCTCTCATATAATGGAAACTGAATTTGCTAAGGCTGCTACCACTCCAGAATATGCTAGCCTTTTTTATTATTATTAATGTAATCAATTAAGGGAAACAATCAACAGAGGAGAATGTCACTCAGAAAACTTCAAAGATTGAAAAAGGATTTGATAGAGGGATATACATTTGTTTAATAATAATGATCGCAGAGAGAACCAAAACCTCCTTCAACTAAAAGGTATCTATGAAAGTGCCCTAGTTCTACTGCCGGGATACCCCAAAATGTATTTCTGTATGTATTTTAATTATCTCTCTTCATGATTCTTTTACGAAAATATGAGTACATTAAAAAAATTTCCACTGGTCTCAGAAACTTTACCTGTATCACAGTGCATTGATGTGTATTTTCATGTAGAGAATATCATGTCACTAGAAGATGTTCCAGCTCATGAACTGTCCCTCTCCCACAAAATGAGAGCTGCTTCTCTTTACATTGATAATTAAACTTGGGGAAGTCCTGTTCCAATATCATTTTGAGAGATAAGCCACCCACAGAGTAGCAATATAAACGATCAAATTAATAAGTCAAATAACAACTTATATTGAGCTACTAGAACTTCATAATCTAAAACAATTACAATAATTTAGTGTAAATAATTAGCATGCCAGTTAAAACATTGTACTTTTCAAACAGAATGAAATACTTACATAATAATTATCATTTATTTGTACCATCGGTGCATTTACGCAAGCACCTAAACATTCAACTTCTACCAGTGTGAAAAGTTTATCAGGTGTTGTTTCCCCAACTTGTATACCTACAGTAATAAGAAATATTAGGGTAAGTGGTGATTATTTAATACATTTAAAGAAAAATCTTAAATATTTCTCAGCTAATCTATTGCTGTTATTTCACTTCATGTTGTAAAACATTTGTATCTTATTTTTACATGATTTGGACAATTTTCCTAATATCAACACTTAAACAGCTCCAAGATGCTTCCCATTAAGTAAAAAAAGCTTCATAAACTGAAACCCCTCAGATACATTTTAAAAACTGATTTACAGACTTGCTTCCTATTTCATAAAAATATTTTATAAACCAATTATAGGTATTATTGATTAATTGTAGAACTACCTATTCTATTTTTAGGAAGCAATGCAATAGGAGAAGTTACTTAAAAAGGAATATATATATATATATATACACACACACACACACACATTTTACAGCAGCTCTAATATGTATGGGCCTGCTCCTGCTCCCATTCTGGGGACTAACTATGCATGGTGCTGAGTGTTCTCAATACCCACTGAAGAAACAGAGCAGGGCTAAGCATGCTTAGCACAGGCCATGGTGGTCAGAACCTTGCAGATTCAGGCATTAAGGCCCCAATCCTGCTAAGAGTTGTCCATGAGCTTAACTTTAATACCATAAGAAGTGCTGTTCATATGCATGACCAGTGCTAGGTCAATTAGACTACTGTCGTTGATTTAAAGAGGATCAGTATTGGGCATAAATTATCAATGGGTTAATAATTATTACAATGAAACTATGCAAACAAAATTAGATGAATAGCAGCAGCTGGGAAGAATCAAAGAGATCACGATTTTGTGAATGTGGTTAATTTCTGTAAGGACAGCTGTAGCAGTGAAATGTATTTTATTTCAAAACTATACTCCCTGGAACAGCTTCATGAAATACTTTTTCATGTGGCTCACAGGGAACTACAAGGAGCACTGCAAACCATATTTTATTCCAACAAATTCCATTTTGATAACAGGCTGCAAACAAGAAATGTCATCTTAATGTCAGATCCACACAATTATATCAGCCAGGTAGATTCTGAGTCAATATTTAAGGAACTAATTTTTTAAATACTAAAGATCCAAAATTACTAAGTATTACAAAGATTATATTTTATATCAGGATAACAAAAACAGTCTGTGTAGCAGTTACGTTAAATTCAGCTACGCTACTAAAAGCATATAGCATATATTAAAGGACATTATAGCAAGCCTGTCAAATGTTTTATTATTTATCAAGAAGCATTCATGATATTTTGTGTACATATGCAAAAGCATCACATATATTATAAGGCAAAACAACTGGAAGAATTCAAGTGTACTCCAGGAGATTGCACTGGCTTCTAACTTGTTTCCTGGTGAAATTCAGGTTATTGGTTTTGACCTATAAAGTCCTTCATTATTTGGGATCTGCGTATCTTAAAAACTGCCTATATTTTAAACTGACACCAACGATTGGTTGAGATTCTTGAGCTGCAAGTTCTTAGATATGATCACTTGTGGCTAGAGATGTTGGATCGTATTTAAGAAGTTCTGTATTAAAATCACAAATGAGTTTGATTCCCCATAGTTTAAATTCCAGGGTATTACTAATTAAGAGTCTCTTGATTTTTGGTACTGTTTCTCTCCCTCCATGTGTAAAACTTGCAAGCTGCTAATTGTGTTAGTACATTCTAAGACAGAGAGTCTGTTCTCAAAGCAATTCTTTGTAACAACTACTCACACACAGAGAGACTCAAAGCAATACTCTGTAACAACAGAAACAGCACCCAGAGACTCCCCGCCCTTTTGTTGTATTCATCTCGCTTTGTCAACAATTGTGATTAAAATAGAGATAGAGGATGTATGTGGATGGATGCTTGGTGTGGATAATAACTGAATGATCAGGGAGGTGCCAGCCTAAGAATCCAGTGTCCATCGGCTGAAGAAGGCGTCAAGTGGAAATAACTAGAGGACCCCCGGAGGGCAGACTGGAATCCACCCAACAACCTCAAGAATGGGAGAATCAAAGAACAAGATAACATCTGGCAGCAGGGAGCCGTCAGGAATGTGCCATGTGCTGATGATTCAGCAACAGCATGATGAAGCAATCCCCATAGACTGGCATAGGAAGAAATTCCTATAAAAATGTACTCTAGAAAGTGAGACCTTTGGAGTCCGATTCTGCAAACCAACTTCCAGGAGCATCAGATGAGCATCTGACAAGGCCCTGCTCCCTCCTCATGTCCAGGCCACCTGGCCAGTGGCTTGGCATGAGCAACTCTAAGGCTGATAACTATAACAACAACCTTGCAGAACCTGTGTGTGCCCGTGTGTATGAATGAATGTGTGAATAAATATGAAATTGAATGGAATGTTATAGCTATAACGGATTCTTTCTGTATTCACAATAAATGTGGCATTTTGCCTTTTCCCCTTTAATAAGATCCTGCTTGTTTTTATTTTATTGGTATACCAGAGACAGACCATCCAACTGGACAGCCTTTGACCCTTCTTCCCTGACTTAACAAGCCAAAGGTTTTTTCGTGGGAGTTACCTTCAGGACACTTTGCAAGGCATAGTTTTGATGGTTTGATTGGGGAGCCCGTCTGGCTGCATTGGCTACCCTTTTTACCAGCTATTTAGTTGCTGGCATTTGTAGTGTAATTTCTAGTAAGTAATATACATAGCAGTGTTTGAGAAGTGTAATATACAAATGCAAACCATTACAATAACAATGTTAGACAATCATTTCAGTGATTTCCTGATTTTATTATTTTATCTGTGCAACCTTAATATTAAATCATTGTAGATATTTTTAATTCCATTTACTTGTTTAAAACAATTAAGAGGGGAAGAACTTGTGCTTAATAGCACCACGATTAAAATGGTCCCCATTAGACTGAAGTTCACAGCATGGAGTGTTGATTTCACCCCTTTTCCTGCCATTTTATTTTGGTGGTAGAGTTTTCTCTCTTACATTTTGGGGGTACTTATCTTTGCTACAGAAACCCCCCCAACTTTTCATGAAAGCTTAGAATTTATGGAATATTGTAGAATGCAGGAAATATTGCAAACATCCTAAAACTGAGGAACAAAAATGTTTTACACAGCTTCAGTTTTTTTCTTGGCCTTAATGTTAAGGCAATTATTCTAGAGACTTGAGCTGGGTGTTAAAGCAAGACATTTACAATCTCTCTCATATCAGTTTTCCCACTGAAAGCATGAAAGTGGCAGTCCTGTTCCTGTCAGACTATGGAGGGAGAATGTGCACTGTGAGGTCACAAATGCTTGGGGCTTCTTTAGGCTCTGCTAAAATTCTTAGCAAATGCCCATGGAGCATATTTAGAAGTGTTTTTTCCCAAATAACTTTTTAGTTCCCCCTCTCCCCCCACTCCCTCCAAAACCAAGAAAAGGCATTAGTTCTCAATGAGTACTATGTTGTCACGATTTTAAAACTTTAGCCATCAAAAAAATCTGAACTTAAAAAATTTTAACACTGGAAAAAAACATTTTTACTCTCCTTGAAAACTGATATCGGGATTTTGTTCAAACTTTAAAAAAAATTCACCTTTGGACAGAAACCAAGCATGGAAATCTGCGTGCATAATAAAAGGTTATAATAAACTGTTTACTGCCTTAATTATAGTGATTTGTACCAACAGCTTCCTCTAAGCAGCACAGCCTGTGACACAAACCCATGACTTGATATTCCTTTCTGCTGCCTTCTTCTCCCTCCCTTCCTGCCAAACAAACCCCAAAAAAAAAAAAAGGCGGAGGGGGAACATCACTGCCTCTCATATTCAGGCAGGAATTACTCAATTTACTTTACTATTAGGGATTTATAAATTACATTCCCATTATTCCATTTAAATTAAACAAAGATTAGTAACACACTCGTATAGCAAAGGTCTCTTCCCCACACACTGAACCATGTGTAGATATGCATCTAAGGAATGCTGAAGGGAACCTGACTAGCTGAGTTCACTGTTGTATGTCTGGTAGTCTTGCTCTAAGATACATTGCTTGAAAAAAAATAAAGGCTCATATCAACACATTTAAATCCCTATTAAGTTGGAAACAGTTATTTTTACTCAGAACTCTGAGCAAGGGCTTGCCTTCAACACCAGTCCTTGATTTCAGGTATATTCAATCATTACTTGGATTACTGGAGGAAAAAAAATGGTGCACAGCTACATTAGAGAAAATAAACGCTCTCCTACATAAAAAAACCCCTTCCAATTGTTTGAGGATACTGACACAAGAGAACATGCCTCACCCTCAAAGGGATGGGATAATCTGAATGTTCTCAGGTCCCCAAAACTCACATTTTAACTTCAAAAAGGACAGATTTATTATCTGACAAATTGCCTATAAAAACATCAATGGGCACTCCTAGGCAATAGTTTTCCCCAACCATCACCCTTATATCTTATTCTGCTGTTAAAAATACTTATTCTTTTTATTTCAAGTCTAAAGTTTTTCAAATTTAGACTTCAAAGAGTTCATTTATGAATTTAAGTGTATTTTCTCTTTGTACTGTCACCACCATATCGATTCCTTGTTTAGAAAGTTTTTGTTGGATAGGTGAAATGTTAAATATTGTAAGCCTATAAAAACACACATAGTTATAGAAAACATATCATTTGCATCATACCAAGCTTCTTCTGAATAGCCTCTAGTATACCATCAGAATCTCTCAGCATACACGGTGTAGTTGTGCAGATCTGAATATGGTATTTTCCCACAGGCTTCCGATTATACATTGTATAGAAAGTTGCTACTTCATATACTCTCATGGGAGGCATCTGTAAAACTTCAGCAACCTATAGGATGGGGAAGAAATTTTTTTAGGGAATTAGAACAATATCAGCTGAATGCAATATTTTCAAAAGCACTAATTACATTAATTCTGGTTCACAACACTGTAGTAGTGTACACACTGAAAAAATACAAAAATTACTTCTGCATTCTTTTGTTCTGAAGATAGCCAAAACAGATCACTACTGTGACTCTCAGACCTTTGACAAGTGATAGGCTGAAATTTATATAGTTCATGTTTCTAAGCTATTAAACCGTCTCATCAGCAGTAACCAGGCCTACTCTGATTTAGATGTACCAACAGCAGATTCTCAAAGAAAATACTTAAGATATATCCAAACGAACAAAATTACAACTGTGATGCTGGCAGACCAGATGCCAGCTCCTGCCCAGGCCCCAAGCCTCACTGAACAGTGGATAGCAAGACACTAGTCTGACGCACCTTTCTGTTAATATTGCTAAAACAGGTATTAGACTTGTAAAGATGCATTTAGTGTTTAGATTTCATTAAATATTTGTAAATTGCTGCATGTGTTAATCTCATTTATAATATCTGTAACCCATGCTATAAGGTAATAATTATTTGTTCTGTAACTAAAAATGTTTGCTCTGAAACTGCAAATCCAGTCAGGAAAGAAATCTCACCAAGTGTGAAATACTGGTTTGCACCCATGAAGATGCGTCATCTTCTCCCCAAAAAAAGGTCTATAGACATCAGACAAGCCATTGTGGACAAAAGACTGTTAACTGCTTCCCTCAGAGCCCTGAAGAGGGCATGCCCAAGCCCTCATCCCATCATAGCTTGAACACTGGGGAAGAGAATAAAAATGCCTGTGAAAGAATTTACTATTTCTATGCTGCTTGAATTCTGACGGTAGAGGATTTCTAAGCATAAGCAAGGGGACCCCAGCTGTTTTGCCTGGGTTAGCTCTAAAAGATAGGAAGTTCTATAATAAGCAGATTCTATCATCTTTCAAAATCTAACTCATTTGTATGCATATGCACACCTGCTTTAACATTGTAAATAACTCACTTCTTTTTCCTAAACCTTTAGTTAGTTTGTTACAGAACTGGCTATAAGCATTGTCTTTGGTGTGAGATCTAAGGTGCAAATTGACCTGGGGTAAGTGACCAGTCAGTCTTTGGGACTAGAAGTAACCTGAATATTGATGTGATTTTTGGTGTAAGACAACTATCACAAAGTCAAGCTTGCTTGGGTGGCAAGATAGATAGGAATGCCATAGGGGACAGTCCGTGACTCCAAGGTATGACTGTGACTGCGCTTAAAGGAGCTTAAACTTGTTACTAGGTTGGTGAAATTAATTATAGAAGGTGTACAGCCAGTTTGGAGTTTCTGCCCTGCTTCTTGACAGTCTGCACTGAGGTTGGCACTCACAGTCGTGAGCCACTGCAGGCAGCGTGACAACATCAAAAATAATTCTTTGCTGGAATGAAAATTGAAAACACTGGAGAACTAGGTCAGAGTACAAATTACTGTATCATTGAATGATATTGTTTCCAAGCCTCTGCATTACAGCAAAGCTCATTTTAAACTGGATGCTACAAATGATCAACTAAGTCGGAAAGGACTTATAGGACTTCCATACACAAAAACAGCCTAGTGTCACTTCATCTGGCAAACATGACTGAGAAAACTGTAAAAACTACTAAAGCGATATGGTCATCACCTATCCAAGCCATAATACCGTTTTTTGTTTTTTTTTCCTGAAATGATTCCTCTCCCGGAGACATTTTGGAAAGTGGTTTTTTACCTCTTAGAGGGGCATATAAGGAGACAGGAGTTGAAACAACTAGATTATTCCCAACAAAATTCTGGGTTATTTATGAAGAAAATGTGTCCATTTCCGTTACATTACTTCAGCTGAAGCTGTGCTGGGAAAGATGGTTAAAGACAACCAACACTGCTCCTCAGAAGAACATAATTAATATTAGACCGGTCAGAAATTTGCCAAAGGAACATTTTTTCACTGGAGAACGCCAACTTCAGTGAAATGTTCCACAGAAACAGTTCTATTTGGACAAAGGTTCAACAGAAAGCAGACAGGGTTCTGACAGAACCCTGCTTGCCCCAGCCTCTCGCGCACAGGAGTGAGAATCTTTGTCTATAGCTGTATTTACACATTTGTACACAGTGAAAACTCACCTGTAAGTGGTGGGTATGTACTCACCATGGCTCAGGCAGGCCTCCACTGCCACTACCCATGCTACTGTGGCTACACTGCTATTTATACCTGTGCTGCTCAAGAAGAGCTAGCATGAGTATGGGAACATAAGCAAGATAATCATACCCCTAGCTCATAGTGTAGACATAGTCTAGAGCTGCGGTTCTCAAACTTTAGCAACCTGAGGACCCTCATTTTTATTTAAAAAATTTTTTTCCCCAAACCCTTATGACCCCCGCCTCCACCCCTTCCCCCAAGGCCCCACACCTCTGTCCCACGTCTACCCACCCCCGCTCCACCCCTGCCTTCACTTCCCTGCCTCTTTCTGCCCCCTCCCTGCTCCTCTCCCAGCACCTCCTGCACACCACTGAACAGCTGTTCCCTGGCATGCAGGAGGCACTGGGAGGGAGGGGAAGGAGTTGATCAGCAGGACCTGCAGAGCTCCTGGAGTACCCTCCTCACAGACCTCCCCCAGTGGTCTGTGGACCCATCTGAGAAATGCTGGTCTACAGCACAGTTTCTCTCACCTCCTCCAGATAAAGTATTACATTCAGCAGCACACATGGGATTCTCTCCTCCTAACTGAAGAAAGGGAGTCTAACCAGAACTTTGTCCCTCTTTCCTTTCCCATCAGCAGTGAACAGTCCCACACCTCTGCTTCAACCTTCTTCATTAAAGATCACAGCAAGTCTGAATAAATTTCACTTAAGTTTTGTTCTGCTGATACTTATGGAGTTTCTAGTATTAGGCAAGCATCACGTGCAGAAATATTCCCAGGGGCAGGATTCTCCTACAGGGAAATTTCTAAAATGAAATTGGCCTGGGATTCTCATGATCCTGTGCCAAATTTAAATCCTTGAATTAGCTTATTTTAGTATCGAAATTATAATTCTCATCTTATTAGTAAAGCTAAGATTTAGCTAAAAAAAATTGTAACAATAATGCTTAAAAAAAACCAAACAGATTAAGTACCTTGTTCATCGCTGATATGGGCAACCATCCATTCTGTCTCTGGGCCAGATCTAGTACCGGCATCACAGCAGCTGATCTATGTCCCTCTGGGTAGTGGTTTACTATTGCTTCTATTCTCTAGTTTAAAAAAAAAATTGTTTACAACACTTATTTAAGATTCAGATTTGGATACTTAACATGCCCTTTTCTCCATACCTTATAGTTTTCAGGTGTGAAATCAAATGGTGTATCTGGGTTATTTTCAGGAGTATCTCTGTGCTGCAAGGAAAAAAGAAAATAAAATGTCTCAAAATATGATTTCTCACACACACACACACTCACTCATTTTAAGGCCAGAAGGGACCATCACGATCATCTAGTCTGACCTTCTGAACATCACAAGTTACAGAACCTCACCCACCCACTCCTGCAGTAGGCCTATAACCTTGGGCTGAGTTACTGAAGTCCTCAAATCTTGATTTAAAGACCTCAAGTTACAAGAATCCACTGTTTACTCTGCTTCAAGCCAGCAAGTGACCTCTACCCCAAGCTGCAGAGGAAGGCAAAAACCTCCCATGTTCTCTGTCAATCTGACCTGGGAGGAAATTTCTTCCTGACCCAAATATAGCAATGAGATCCTGAGCACGTAAGCAAGACCCACCAGACACACACCTGGGAAAGAATTCTCTGTAGTTACTCAGTTACCCTCTAACGTCCCATCTCCAGCCGTTGCAGATATTTACTATTAGCAGTCATGGATGCGCCAAATGCCAGTGTAGCAATCACATCATACCATCCCCCTCCACAAGCTTATCAAGCTCAATACTGAAAAAAGTAAGGATTTTTGGTCCCCATTACTCCGCTTAGAAGGCTGTTCCAGAACTTCACTCCTCTGATGGTTAGAAACCTTCATCTAATTTCAAGCCAAAATTTACTGATGGCTAACTTATAGCCATTTGTTCTTGTGCCAACATTAGCCCTTAATGTAAATAACTCCTCTCCCTCCCTGGTATTTATCCCTCTGATATATTTCTAGAGCACAATCCTCTCTCTCTTCATCTTTCATTCTGTTAGCCAAGTTCCTCAAATCTCCGTCCATAAGGTAGGCTCTCCATTCCTCCGGTCATCCTAGTAGCCATTCTCTGCACCTGTTCCAGTTTGAGTACATCTTCCTTAAACATGGGAGACTAGAACTGCACACATTTCCAGATAAGGTCTCGCCAGTGCCTTGTATAATGGTAATAACACTTCCCTAGCTCTACTGGAAATATCTTCTCTGATACATCTGAGGATTGCATTAGCCTTTTTCATGGCTACATCACACAGGCTGCTCACAGGCATCCTGTGATTGACCAATGCACCCAGGTCTTTCTCATCTGTCTCTTCCAACTGATATGTCCCCAGCTTACAACAAAAAGATTTTTTTTAGTCCTTAAATGCATGACCTTGCACTTTATACTATTAAATTTCATCCCATTTCCACTGCTCCAGTTTTCAAGGTTGTCCAAATTTCCTCGTCCGATACTCTGATCCTCCTCTATATTGGCAATATCTCCCAACTTTGTTGTCATCCACAAATTTTATTAGCACACACTCACTTTTTGTTCCAAGGTCATTAAGGAAAACGTTAAAGAAGATCAGTCCCAAGACCAATCCTTGAGGAACTCCATAATAACCTCCCTCCAATCTTACAGTTCACATTCCAGCATGAGCAGTTAGAGTCTCCCCTTTAACCAGTTCCTTACCCACCTTTCAACTCTCACATTAATCCCCATCTTCTCCAATTTAACCAATAATTTCCCACATTGAACTGTAACAAATGCTTTACTGAAATCCAGGTAGATTAGATCTACTGCATTTCCCTTGTCTAAAATAGTATCAGTTATCTTCTCAAAGAAAGAGATCAGGTTGGTCTGGCACGATCTACCTTTTATAAAACCCAATTAGTGTTAAACTCTATGTCCTTAACTACTCTTTCAAAATTTGTTTTAAGACCTTGCATACAATTGAGGTCAAACCAATGGACCTGCACTTTCCTGGATCACTTCCCCGCACCCCCCCCTTTCTTAAATATAGGTGCTATATTTGCAATTTTCCAAACACAGGGTACAACCCACCAAGTTTACAGATACATTAAAAACCCTTGCTATTGCACTTGCAAATTAGAATCATAGAATCATAGAATATAAGGGTTGGAAGGGACACCAGAAGGTCATCTAGTCCAACCCCCTGCTCGAAGCAGGACCAATTCCCAGTTAAATCATCCCAGCCAGGGCTTTGTCAAGCCTGACCTTAAAAACCTCTAAGGAAGGAGATTCTACCACCTCCCTAGGTAACGCATTCCAGTGTTTCACCACCCTCTTAGTGAAAAAGTTTTTCCTAATATCCAATCTAAACCTCCCCCACTGCAGCTTGAGACCATTACTCCTCGTTCTGTCATCTGCTACCATTGAGAACAGTCTAGAGCCATCCTCTTTGGAACCCCCTTTCAGGTAGTTGAAAGCAGCTATCAAATCCCCCCTCATTCTTCTCTTCTGCAGGCTAAACAATCCCAGCTCCCTCAGCCTCTCCTCATAACTCATGTGTTCCAGACCCCTAATCATTTTTGTTGCCCTTCGCTGGACTCTCTCCAATTTATCCACATCCTTCTTGAAGTGTGGGGCCCAAAACTGGACACAGTACTCCAGATGAGGCCTCACCAATGTCGAATAGAGGGGAACGATCACGTCCCTCGATCTGCTCGCTATGCCCCTACTTATACATCCCAAAATGCCATTGGCCTTCTTGGCAACAAGGGCACACTGCTGACTCATATCCAGCTTCTCGTCCACTGTCACCCCTAGGTCCTTTTCCGCAGAACTGCTGCCTAGCCATTCGGTCCCTAGTCTGTAGCTGTGCATTGGGTTCTTCCGTCCTAAGTGCAGGACCCTGCACTTATCCTTATTGAACCTCATCAGATTTCTTTTGGCCCAATCCTCCAATTTGTCTAGGTCCTTCTGTATCCTATCCCTCCCCTCCAGCGTATCTACCACTCCTCCCAGTTTAGTATCATCCGCAAATTTGCTGAGAGTGCAATCCACACCATCCTCCAGATCATTTATGAAGATATTGAACAAAACCGGCCCCAGGACCGACCCTTGGGGCACTCCACTTGATACCGGCTGCCAACTAGACATGGAGCCATTGATAACTACCCGTTGAGCCCGACAATCTAGCCAGCTTTCTACCCACCTTGTAGTGCATTCATCCAGCCCATACTTCCTTAACTTGCTGACAAGAATACTGTGGGAGACCGTGTCAAAAGCTTTGCTAAAGTCAAGAAACAATACATCCACTGCTTTCCCTTCATCCACAGAACCAGTAATCTCATCATAGAAGGCGATTAGATTAGTCAGGCATGACCTTCCCTTGGTGAATCCATGCTGGCTGTTCCTGATCACTTTCCTCTCATGCAAGTGCTTCAGGATTGATTCTTTGAGGACCTGCTCCATGATTTTTCCAGGGACTGAAGTGAGGCTGACTAGCCTGTAGTTCCCAGGATCCTCCTTCTTCCCTTTTTAAAAGATTGGCACTACATTAGCCTTTTTCCAGTCATCCGGGACTTCCCCGGTTCGCCACGAGTTTTCAAAGATAATGGCCAATGGCTCTGCAATCACAGCCGCCAGTTCCTTCAGCACTCTCGGATGCAACTCGTCCGGCCCCATGGACTTGTGCACGTCCAGCTTTTCTAAATAGTCCCTAACCACCTCTATCTCCACAGAGGGCTGGCCATCTCTTCCCCATTTTGTGATGCCCAGCGTAGCAGTCTGGGAGCTGACCTTGTTAGTGAAAACAGAGGCAAAAAAAGCATTGAGTACATTAGCTTTTTCCACATCCTCTGTCACTAGTTTGCCTCCCTCATTCAGTAAGGGGCCCACACATTCCTTGGCTTTCTTCTTGTTGCCAACATACCTGAAGAAACCCTTCTTGTTACTCTTGACATCTCTGGCTAGCTGCAGCTCCAGGTGCGATTTGGCCCTCCTGATAACATTCCTACATGCCCGAGCAATATTTTTATACTCTTCCCTGGTCATATGTCCAACCTTCCACTTCTTGTAAGCTTCTTTTTTATGTTTAAGATCCGCTAAGATTTCACCATTAAGCCAAGCTGGTCGCCTGCCATATTTACTATTCTTTCGACTCATTGGGATGGTTTGTCCCTGTAACCTCAACAGGGATTCCTTGAAATACAGCCAGCTCTCCTGGACTCCTTTCCCCTTCAAGTTAGTCCCCCAGGGGATCCTGGCCATCCGTTCCCTGAGGGAGTCGAAGTCTGCTTTCCTGAAGTCCAGGGTCCGTATCGTGCTGCTTACCTTTCTTCCCTATGTCAGGATCCTGAACTCAACCAACTCATGGTCACTGCCTCCCAGATTCCCATCCACTTTTGCTTCCCCCACTAATTCTACCCGGTTTGTGAGCAGCAGGTCAAGAAAAGCGCCCCCCCTAGTTGGCTCCTCTAGCACTTGCGCCAGGAAATTGTCCCCTACGCTTTCCAAAAACTTCCTGGATTGTCTATGCACCGCTGTATTGCTCTCCCAGCAGATATCAGGAAAATTAAAGTCACCCATGAGAATCAGGGCATGCGATCCAGTAGCTTCCGTGAGCTGCCGGAAGAAAGCCTCATCTACCTCATCCCCCTGGTCCGGTGGTCTATAGCAGACTCCCACCACTACATCACTCTTGTTGCACACACTTCTAAACTTAATCCAGAGACACTCAGGTTTTTCTGCAGTTTCGTACCGGAGCTCTGAGCAGTCATAGCTCAGTACCAGTTCCTTTAATATTCATGTACCAGTTCCTTTAATATTCTTGTATGGAGATTATCTGGGAACCCCTACATATGGTCCCATTAAATCTGTTTTTAAAGAAAAATTAAGGATACTTTAATACGGTATTCTCATATCTATAAACACTAAACTATCTAATATTTCAGATGAGTCTACAAGCATTTAAAATCTCACCTTGAATTTTAACTTTTACATGTCAGAAGTTGGGACTCTAATATTAAATGTTAGGCCAGCAACTATGAAAATTTGTATTAGCAAGTAAAGGAAAAATATATACCTGCACAATACTTTCTTTTTACTGTAGACAGGATCTAATTCGGTTTCCGAACTAAGAGATTCTGTGACAACAGTAAGGTCTGATCCATGAATCCTGGCTTTTAATTTTACCTGGTAAAAGCATAGAACAATACTATACTCTTTATAGCATTTATTAAAAGGCATCTGATCAGGATACATTAGCCTACACTACATAGTTTCAATAATAAATAACCTGATTTGACAAAAAAATTTCAAATAAGAAAATTTCACAGTATTCCTGCAAATTCTTAAGTCACTCTTAGAAAGTTATCAGAAATTAATAATGCTACATTTAGTCTTTAATCTCAAAATGGATGTCAGATGGAATACAAAGTATTCTAATGTCTGAAAGCATACATTTATTACACCATTATTCCATTTGCAACTTTATGTCCAAATTGATCCTACTTGCCCTGATTAAAATAAAAAGGTATGAGCCTATTTTCAGTTTCTCTCAGACATAAAATTAAAAATTCCCCTCTGAAGGTGCTTCCTCTTTTTGTAACTTTTATTTTATTTCTTCTCTATAAATCTGGCAAAACTTCTGGATTTAGAAGGTTTATCACTAAGGCCCTGATTCTGCTCCTGACTATGTGGGTAGATCCCTGTACCCATGCAGAGCCCCATTAAAATCAGTGGAACTCAGCAAGGGCACAGGGTTCGGATGACATATAAACTGCAGCACTGGTACCTAAAGAAATACTTCTCTATTTTTAAACAGGAAAACCTATCACACTGGATCATTTCAAGACATTAGGATGGGCATTTTAAAAAATAAAATCATCTGGGCATTTTCGAGTGAACTGTAAAGACTTTTAAAAATTGAAGTAAATTGCCTTTTAAGCAAAACAGACCATCCTTTATTTTAAATCATCTGAATTAAAATTATGAATTTTGAGCTCTGAAAAATCAATCCAAGTAGTAACAGGTCAACCTGAAGAAGAGCTCTTCAGTAAGCACTGAAGTTTGTCTCTCATCAACAGAAGTTGGTCCAATAAAAGATGTTACCACTCCCACCTTGTCTCTATTTTTCCTTTTAGATATATATATATAAATATATATATATATAAAAAATAAACAATAGTGCGGAGTTGTAGGCTTGGAGCACTAAGCAATCTGAAATATGCACAGTTGCAGACTACTAGTTCAGGTCCATTTGGCCACCAGGGTGGATAAAAATCAATTTAAAAAAATTAAAAATTCGAATTTTTTTATTTAACTGATATTTTTGATAAAATGCTTTTTGAGGAAAAAACCTACCTAAAGATAGTTTTAAATAAGATACATGATAGCCCAAAGATATCTCATCATAGAATAGGGATTATAAATTCTAATTCTGTAGTATGAGACAATATATTAATGTAATGTTTAAGAAAAGTTTTGTAAATGAGTTCCAATAGTTCATGGATTAGGAACCCAATCTTCTGGGCTTCCACGGGCTCCTGTATAGATTTAAGTTAATCTTTCTATCCACCCAATGGGACTCAGTGCTCAGTCTAGAAGATACCATCAGAGATGCTTAGTTTTGCAGTTCTCAAACTGTGGATGTGTCTCCCCAGAGGTAACATGCTTGTTAACAGCAAAAATGTTTTTAAATGGATGGATGGATGGAAGAGAAATAACAGACTTCAACCCTATTGTCCCTCTGCAAAGTTGTGTACAGAGTCAATCCCTTACCTCTCTCTAAAAGTGCAAAGTTTCAGAAAGTTCAATGAACAGAAGATTGCTGGGGACCAAATAGATCTGGACACGGAGAAGAAGTCTAGAGATAAATGTGAGAAGGGAGGGACAGGCAGCAGAAACAAAAGTGAAACCGGTTGAGCAGCATATTTGAGAAGTCTTGGTCTTTCTGAGTGTAGCCTTCATTGATTTGAGATCTACCATACCCAGTGGTGAGCTGGAACCAGTTGTTAAATTTAACATATAACAATTGTTCCGCGAGGGACAACCGGTTCCAAAAGGCCTTCCAAATGTAACTGGCCAAAAGTGGCGCCTTAGGCGCCGACTCCATGGATGCTCCAGCCATGGAGCAACAAGGGGAAAATCTGGTGGGTACAGAGCACCCACCAGCAGTTCCCCAGCCCCAGCTCGCCTCTGCTTCCTCCCCTGAACACGCTGCCCCGCTCTGCTTCTCTGTCCCCCCTTCCCCCCCCCCGGCTTCCCGCAAATCAGCTGTTCACGCAGAAAGCTGGGGTGGGCTGAGAAGAAGGCGGCTGCTTCCTCCTCAGGCTGAGGGTGGCGGAGGTGAGCTGGGGTAGGGGGGCACGAGGAGAGCTGCCCGCACCGCAGCAGGTAACCGCTCCCGTCCCAGCTCACCTCCGCCACCCTCAGCCTGAGCAGGAAACCGCCGCCTGCTTCTCAGCCCTCCCCGGCTTCCTGCCGAACAGCTGATTTGCGGGAAGCCGGGGGGGAGGTAGAGAAGCGGGGCGGAGGAGGTGAGCTGGGGCCAGGCATGGGGCAGAGAGCTGCCAGTGGGTGCTCTGCATCCACCAAATTTTCCCCGTGGGTGCTCCAGCCCCGGAGTACCCACGGAGTCAGCGCCTAAGGCTCCACTTTTAATGTGATCAGTGGGGGAGCAGCTGCTCCCCCTGCTCCCTCCCCCCAGCTATGATTTCCCGCCCCTAGAAGCCAGAGGGACCTGCCGGATGCTTCCTGGGAGCTGCGCCAAGTAAGCACCTCTAGGACTCCCCACCTCACCCCCCGGCAGGTGCCTCTGGCTCTAGGGGTTCGGTGGGCACCCACTACGGTGTCCCACGAGACCCTCCTGCCCGGTTCTGGGGGCCAACAGGGGAGTGGGGTGGATGGGGCAGGGATCCTGGGGGGGGGGGAGGCGGCGGCATCAAGGAATGCAGGGGGGTTGGATGGGGCAGGAGTCACGGGGGGCGGGATTGGGCAACGACCCCCTCGTGGGGTGAGGAGGGAACCCGTTGTTAAGATTTTGGCAGCTCATCACTGACCACACACACTTAGGCGCCGACTCCATGGGTGCTCCAGCCATGGAGCAACAAGGGGAAAATCTGGTGGGTACAGAGCACCCACCAGCAGTTCCCCAGCCCCAGCTCGCCTCTGCTTCCTCCCCTGAACACGCTGCCCCACTCTGCTTCTCTGTCCCCCCCGTCCCCCCCCTACAATGGGAGCAGGCTGTAAAAAGGGAAAACCTACAATGGGAGCAGGCTGTAAGAGAGACCCAGTTTGGGAATGTTTTAATCAAGTTCCTCTACCTGTAGGAGAGACAGACATGCGTGCAAAATGCAAACAGTGCCACAAAGAAATGCAAGGCCTGGTTGCCTGAATGAAACATCATCATTTCTCAGGAGGAAGCTTATGAAAGAAACATGAAGGATCTTCAGGTTGGTAAAGTTTTTTATTTTATGCTTCTTTCTTAAAGACTGCCTATCTTCCTTCTGGACTATTCTTGCATTCTCATGTTTGAGCAAAAAAATATAGTTGTTACTCTATGGTACTATCATTTTAGATGCAGTTGTGAAAAAAAATAGCTGAAATAGGCAGATCTTCCTTTTACAATTTCACCTTTAAAGTAGTACTGAGCGTCAGTGAATGCAATGAGTAATACTAAATGAGCAGTATGGTAATAAACAACTAACTGCATTGACTTATTTTGTTTAGGAGAATCTATCCTCAAACTTCAGGATTCTGAAGACTATCCACCTTCAGATCACCATCATTTTCTATAGTTTCAGAATTATCTGCCAACAATAGTGTTTCAGTCACATCATGTATGTCACATAGCCACAGTATATCACTTGTAGCAAAAAGGAAAAAAAATTTCCATCATCCATCATCTATAACCATAGATACATTTGTTATAAGAACCAGCAGATTACAAAAAGAGGTAATTGATGAAAAAATCACCTAGTTTGTTTATGCAACAAACTCTTCTTTCGGTATGACTGAGAACCCACACTTCATTAACATGGTTCAGTCATAAAGACCAGGACACAGTCCATACAACAGAGCAGATGTCGCAGGCAAATTGCTGGATAAAGTGTATGAAAGAAATTGAGCAGCGTGCAAAAGGTCTAGAAGGTAAAATTGTTAACCTGCGTCTTGATGGGTGGAGCAATGTCCACAATGATCCTGTTGTGATTGTCTGACAACAGAAGAAAGGAATGTCTTATTTACAGAAACAATTGGTACATTAGGAAATGCGCACACAGCAGAATACTTACAAGTAGCAGCAAGAAAAGCTATAACAAACTGTGGGGAAAAAATTCAAATGTCTAGTTCGCAGCTTGGTCACAGACAATGCTGCAAATGTATCCAAGATGAGAAGAACTTATTTAGAAGAGAGTCCCAAGCTAATAACATATGGTTGCAGTGCTCATTTGATGCATCTCCTAGCCAAAGACTTCAGTGTTCCAGAAATAAAGGCTAATGTTATTGAAATTGCAAAATACTTCCGTAACAACCACTTTGCAGCAGCTGCTCTGAAAAAAGTGGGAGGAACCAAGCTACCTCTCCCACAAGACGTGCGATGGAACTCAGTAGTGGACTGTTTTGAGCACTATATCAAGAACTGATGACAGTTAATGACAGTTTGTGAACAAAAACATGAAAAAACAGATGGCACTGTCACAGCCAAACATTGGGGTTAAGAGAAATGTTGAACACATGCTGAGTACCCTGAAGCCTATTTCTGTAGTCTTGAACAAAACACAGGGAAATAGCTGTTTTATTGCTGACGCTGTTGAAATTTGGAAGGAACTGAGTGAGAGCTTAAAAAAAGAGAACTATGCAATGACAGAGTTAAATTACAAGCATTAAAAAAACGAACAGGACAAGCACCATCTCCAGATCATTTTCTCGCAATTATTCTCAATACTCAGTACCAGGGTCAAACCTGAACTGCTGAAGAAGAGGAGCTGGCTAGGACATGGACATCCAGCAATCATCCCTCCATAATGTCAACTATAATAAACTTCAGAGCTACGGGTGAACCATTCAAGAAATATATGTTTGCTGATGATGGTTAAAGAAAGTCACACCAGCCATATAAATAAGAAGAAAACAAAGAAAAAAGTGGGGCCACTAAACACTGAGGATGGAGTGGAGGTTAAGGATAATCTAGGCATGACCCAATATCTAAACAAATACTTTGCCTCAGTCTTTAATGAGGAGCTTAGGGATAATGGTAGGATGACAAATAGGAAGGAGGATATGGAGGTAGATATTACCACATCCGAGGTAGAAGCCAAACTTGAACAGCTTAATGGGATTAAATTGGGGGGGGCCCAGATAATCTTCATCCAAGAATATTAAAGGAACTGGCACAAGAAATTGCAAGCCCATTAGCAAAAATTTTTTAATGAATCTATAAACTCAGGGGTTGTGCCATATGTCTGGAGAATTGCTAACATAGTTCCTATTTTTAAGAAAGGGAAAAAAAAAAAAAAGTGATCCGGGCAATTACAGGCCTGTTAGTTTGACATCTGTACTATGCAAGGTCTTGGAAAAAAATCTGAAGGAGAAAGTAGTTAAGGACACTGAGGTCAATGGTAATTGGGACAAAATACAAGATGGTTTTACAAAAGGTAGATCATGCCAAACCAACCTGATCTTCTTTGAGAAGGTAACAGATTTTTTTAGACAAAGGAAATGCAGTGGATCTAATTTACCTCGATTTCAGTAAGGCAATTGATACTGTTTCACATAGGGAATTATTAGTTAAATTGGAAAAGATTGGGATCTATATGAAAATAGAAAGGTGGATAAGGAACTGGTAAAACGGGAGACTACAATGGGTCACACTGAAAGGAGGTTACTAGTGGAGTTCCTCAGGGATCAGTTTTGAAACCAATCTTTTTATTACTGACCTTGGCATAAAAAACAGGAATGTGATAATAAAGTTTGCAGATAACACAAAGCTGGAAGGTATTGCCAATTCAAAGACAGACCAGGATATCATACAGGAAGATCTGGATGACCTTGCAAACTGGAGTAACAGTAATAGGATGAAATTTAATAGTGAAAAGTGCAAGGTCATGCCTTAAGGATTAATAACAAGAATTTTTGTTATAAACTGGGGACGCATCACTTGGAAGTAACAGAGAAGGACCTTGGAATATTGGTTGATCACAGGAGGATGATGAGCCGCCAATGCGATATGGCCATGAGAAAAAGCTAATGTGGTCTTGGGATGCATCAGACAAGGTATTTCCAGTAGAGATAAGGAGGTGTTAGTACCATTATACAAGGCACTGGTGAGACCTCATCTGGAATACTGTGTGCAGTTCTAGTCTCCCATGTTTAAGAAAGATGAATTCAAACTGGAACAGGTACAGAGAAAGGCTAATAGGATGATCTGAGGAATGGAAAACCTGTTTTATGAAAGGAGACTCCAACAGCTTCTCTTGTTTAGCCTAACCAAAAGAAAGCTGAGAGGAGAGATGATTGCTCTCTATAAATATATCAGAGGGGTAAATACCACAGAGGGAGAAGAATTATTTAAGCTCAGTACCAATGTGGACACAAGAACAAATCAATATGAACTGGCGATCAGGAAGTTTAGACTTGAAATTAGATGAAGGTTTTTAACCATCAGAGGAGTGAAGTTCTGGAACAGCCCTCCAAGGGAAGCAGTGGGGGCAAAAGACATATCTGGCTTCAAGACTAAGCTTGATAAGTTTATGGAAGAGATAGGATATGATGGGATAGCCTAATTTTGGCAATTAATTGATCATCAACTATTAGCGGTAGATATGCCCAATGGCCTGTGACGGGATGTCAGATGGGGTGGGATCTGAGTTACTACAGAGAATTCTTTCCTGGGTGTCCGGCTAGTGAGTCTTGCCCACATGCTCAGGGTTTAGCTGACTTCCATATTTGGGGTTTGGAAGGAATTTTCCTCCAGGGCAGATTGGCACAGGCCATGGGGGTTTTTTGCCTTCCTCTGCAGCGTGGGGCATGGGTTACTTGCTGGAGGATTCTCTGCACCTTGAAGTCTTTAAGCCACGATTTGAGGACTTCAGTAGCTCAGACATAGGTTAGAGGTTTGTTACAGGAGTGGGTGGGTGAGATTCAGTGGCCTGCGTTGTGCAGGAGGTCAGACTAGATGATCATAATGGTCCCTTCTCACCTTAAAGTCTATTATTCTATTACTTAAGCATTTGTATTCAGAGACTGTTGAAGTGATAATCTCACTTTTAATCTTTAATCTTCTACCGATATAGAAAGAATATTTTCTTCCTTTGGACTAATTCATTCCAAATTGAGAAATCGTTTGGGACCTGAAAAAGCAGGAAAGCTTGTTTTTCTTTTCCAGATTATGAACAAACAGGAAGGCTGGCTGACAGTCGATTTAATTTTTTTTTTTAATATATTTCATTTAATTATTTTAGTTAACAAAACAAACCTGAATTTAAAAAACCTCAATGTTTAACTAAATTCCAAAATTCATATGCTTGTTTTTAAAAATATTGTATGTTTGCTGTTGAATAAAAAAATCCAGAATGCATAACGTTGCTGTTTTAGTTAAATAAAACAATTTAAATGTCTGTCTGGTGATGTTCTCCTCCTAATACAGCATGGCAAGAAAATCCTCCAAATATTAACGATTAACCTGTTGGCGATATTTATGAAGTCACTGGGAGGTGAACTATTTCCCTCAACTACCTTTGGTAAATGAACTAACCAATCATTCATTTTCTGAGATAGCTGTAAAACTAAATTTGACAAGTTTTCAAAATAAATCACTTTAAAAATGTATAGTGTGTACCGCCTAAAAATGAAATTTACATCTGAGTTGTGAAGAATATATATTAAGGTTATAACAACCAACAAGAATGCACTTTTATGTAGAAATCCACGATTAAATAGAGTCTTCCTGTCTAGTGATTTAAATCAAATCCACCCTGACCCCGAACAAAGGGATAAAGCGCTGTCTATACTGGCACTTTTCAATGCTAAAACTTTTGTTGCTCAGGCTCCCCCCACACACACCCCTGAACAGCTAAAGTTTTAGCGCTGAAAGTGCAGCGTAGACACAGCCTAAGACCATGATTTTTAGTCTCTAGCAAAGATATGAATGTAAGCTCCCAGGCTTGTCTTTTGAAAGTGTTGCGCAGGTTTCCTTTGAGGAGGAGAACTGATAGGTCAGATACAAAGTGATGGGTCTGAGAAAAGGATTTGCCCACAGGTGATACGGTGTTTATGTTTTTATCATTTTCCAGTGCAAGTTCATATGAAAGCACAGTGATTGTCAGGGCTCACCCACATAGTTGTTATTGGGGCATTTAGTGAACTGGATTAGGTACACCACATATGATAGACGTGTAGAACCCATTACTCTTAGAAGCTTTGTTGTGGGGTGGTTATCATTGTAGCAGAGGAGATCGGTCTGCAGGTTTTGTTCTTCTGGCAGGGTATGGTGCTGCTTTGAGTTGCTGTGTCCTGCTCTGTGGGAAGCTTGCTTCTGATGAGCTTAGAAAGGTTGGGGGGTTGTTTGAATGCCAGAAGAGGGGGTTCAGAAAAGATCTCTTTCAGGATGGGGAACTCATCGAGTATGGATTATACAGTCTGATGATACCCCATAGGGGTTCCAGTGTGCGGTGATAGTTTACAACTAGGGGTACGTGATCCAAGGGGATTCTATTTCTGTATTGAAGCAGCTTCTCTTGGGGCATTTGGGTGGCTCGTTCTGTGATGTGACCTACTTCTCTGGTGGAATGTCCTTGTTTGGTGAATGTGTGTTAAGGTGTATATCCTTAGGTTATCCTAAGGGTTAAGTGTGTTAAGGTATATATCCCAGACTTTCCCCTCAGAGAATATTCTGTGGCATGAGAGTGCCTAACTGTAGATAACAGATTTCTTAGTGTGTTTGGGGAGTTTACTGGATCTGTGAAGGTAGGTGTGGCGATCTATGCATTTCTTGTATATAGTGGTCCATAAGGTTCCACTATTGAACCCGATGCAGCCCTCAAGCCAAAAAGCTTGCCTGCCCCTGATGTAGAAGGTCCCTGGTGTGGGTTTGTTGGGGAGGAGTTAGTAGAGGTTCTCTTGGAGTCATTTAGGACAGATTTGATGATTTCCTTAAATTCCTGTGTAAATTGCAGTGTGGGATCTTCACTGATTCCTTTCAGTAAGTTGTATCAGAATTGTCCGAGTTTCTAACAGACCAAACTCCAATTTAGCAACTTCGAAGGTTTCACATAGGGCTGTCAAGCGATTAAAAAAATCAATCACAATTAATCATGATGTTAAATAATGGAATACCATTTATTTAAATATTTCTGGATGTTTTCTACATTTTCAAATATATTGATTTCAATTACAACACATTACAATGCGTATAGTGCTCATTTTTATTACAAATATTTGTACTGTAAAAAAACAAAAATAGTATTTTTCAATTCACCTAATACTAGTACTGTAGCACAAACCTTTTTCTATAAAAGTTGAACTTTAATGTAGAATTATGTACAAAAAATAAGTGCATTCAAAAATAAAACCAACAATGTAAAACTTTAAAGCCTGCAAGTCCACTCAGTCCTACTTGTTCAGCCAATTGCTCAGAAAAACAAATCTGTTTACATTTGCAGGAGATCATGCTTCCTGCTTCTTGTTTAAAATGTCACCTGAAAGTTAGAACAGGCATTCTCACAGCATTGTTGTAGCTGGCGTCGCAAGATATTTACATTCCAGATGCGCTAAAGCAGTGGTCTCCAACCTTCTTATGTACAAGATCACTTTTTGAATTTAAGTGCAACCCAGGATCTAACCTGCCCCTTCCCCGAGGTCCCATCCGAAACACTCCATCCCCCTGCCCCCCCCCCATCACTCGCTCTCCCCTACCCTCACTCATTTTCACTGGGCTGGGGCAGGGAGTTGAGGTTTGGAAGGGTATGTGGGCTCTGAGCTTGGGCCAAGGGGTTTGGAGTGTGGAAGGGGGCTGCAGGCTGAGCCTGGGGCAAGGGTTCAGGTGCAGGAGAGGGTGTGGGGTGTGAGTTCTGGGAGGTACTTTGGGTGCAGGAGGGGACTCCGAGCTGGGGCAGGAGTGCAGGAGGGACTACAGAGTAGTGGTTCCAGCAGGGGGCTCAGGGCTGGGGTTCGGGCTCCTGCCAGGTGGCACTTACCTTGGGCAGCTCCCAGTCGGTGGCACAGTGGGGCTAAGGCAGGCTCCCCGCCTGCCCCGCACCACACCACTCCCGAAAGCAGCCAATACGCCCCAGCGGCCCCTTGAGGGTGGGGGGGAAAGAGGGGAGAGAAGACCTTGGCTCCACACGCTGCTCCTGCCTGCACATGCTGCCCCCGTAGCTCCCACTGGCCACAGTTCCCCGTTCCCGGCAAATGGGAGTTGCAGGGGCGGTGCTTCCAGGCAGGAGCAGCACTTCCAGGCAGGAGCAGCACATGGAGACCCCTGCTCCCCACCCACCCCACCCCCCGATGCTGTGAGGGTGTGGGGCTGAGGCAGGCAGGGAGCTTCCTTAGCCCCGCTGGACTTTTAGCAACCGGAGATTGCAATCGACTGGCAGAGGCTCCAGGATTGGGCGATCTACAGGTTGGTGACCACTGCACTGAAGATTCATAGGTCCCTTCATGCTTCAATCACTATTCCAGAGGACATGCGTTCATGCTGATGACAGGTTCTGCTCGATAACGATCCAAAGCAGAGCAGACTGATGCATGTTCATTTTCATCATCATGAGTCAGACGCCACCAGCAGACGGTTTATTGTCTTTTTTGGTGGTTCGGGTTCTGTAGTTTCCGCATCAGAGTGTCGCTCTTTTAAGACTTTGAAAGCATGCTCCACACCTCATCCCTTTCAGATTTTGGAAAGGGCCTCTGATTCTTAAACCTTGGGTCAAGTGCTGTAGCTATCTTTAGAAATCTCACACTGGTACCTTCTTTGCGTTTTGTCAAATCTACAGTGTAAATGTTCTTAAAATGAACAATATGTGCTGGGTCATCATCCAAGACTGCTATAACATGAAATATATGGTATAATACAGGTAAAGCAGAGCAGGAGACCTACAATTCTCTTCCAAGGAGTTCAGTCACAAATTTAATTAATACTTTTTTTTTTTTAAAAGAACATCAGCAGCTTGGAAGCATGTTCTCTGGAATGGTGGCTGAAGCATGAACAGGAATATGAATGTTTAGCATATCTGGCATGTAAATCCCTTGCATGCCGGCTACAAAAGTGCCATGCAAATGCTGATTTTCACTTTCAGGAGACATTGTAAATAAGAAGCAGGCAGCATTATCTCTAGGGTCCTACCAAATTCATGGCCTTGAAAAACACGTCACGGACCAAGAAATCTGGTCTCCCTCTGTGAAATCTGATATTTTGTGGGCTTTTCCCTATACTATACAGATTTCCTGGAGGAGACCAATGTCTCTCAAACTGGAGGGTCCTGACCCAAAAGGGAGTCGCGGGGGGGGCGGGGTCCACAAGGTTATTTTAGGAAGTCACAGGATTGCCACCAATGTTCCCTCTAATTTTTTCGACTCCATGTGCAGAATACACTTTTATGTGCACCAAGGTAAGTGTGGATGTGCACTACCAGTAGAAACAAAAAACCTAGATATATATATTTTTTAAAAGTTACCAAAGGGATAATTACTCCATCTAGGACAGGTTAGGCATTTTAGAACTCACAACTCAAAGAATTAAATTTAAGTGTAAGAGAAATAAAAATTATGAAATGCACAGACTAGTCAAAACACTAAAATAACACACTTTGAAAGAATAGAATTACAGAGAATATATGTGCATTGAATGAAGTAACACCACCACCACCACAAGTATAAGTGTGTGAGTGTGAGAGAGACTGTGCTGGCTGCTGGAGAAATTTCTGAGACGCACTGTGCGCTGTCTCTTTAAGGCACTCACTGAAAGCTCTCCTGCTCTGTCCTGACTGAGCCCTGTCTCCGCTGCCCCTGCTCTGCAGAGATGGGGTACATGGGCGGTGGGGGGCGCAGAAAGAGACACACTGTGAGTTGGCTGCTGGGGAAGCCTCAGAGACAGCAAGCTGGTTGTTTTTTTTTTTTTTTTAAGAAAAAGAAAGACTCTCACCGCCCAGAAGCTGGAGTCTTCAGACCTCAGGACAGCAGCAGCTGCGACTTCTGAGCCAGAGAGCTCTATGCTCTGCAGAGATGGGGTACAGGGGCAGGGGACACCCTGACATCAGCATCCTCCTCCCCCACTCTGCACAGCCAGCAGGAGGGTCCCAGGAACAGCTGCAGGAGCAACGTGGCTGCAAAGTAGCAGGGGGGAGGGGCACCTGAACACATGCTGCTAGATGCGACACAGCTGTGTGTCACTTGCCTTACTTCTGCACCACTCCTGGCAGTGGCTCTGCCTTCAGAGCTGGGCTCCCACCCAGCAGCTACTCCTCTACAGCTGCCCAGCTCTGAAGGCAGCACCACCGCCAGTAGCAGAGCAGAAATAAGGGTAGTAATACCGCAACACCATCCCCAATAACCTTGTGACACACACCCCCGCCAAATCCTTTTTGGGCCAGGACCCCTACAATTACAACACCGTTAAATTGACCAAAATAGACCATGAATTTGGTAGGGCCCTAATTATCTCCCATAAATGGGAACAAACCTGTTTCTCTTTGCAATTGTCTGAACAAGAAGTAGGACTTAGTGGACTTGTAGGCTCTGAAGTTTTACATTGTTTTATTTTTGAGTGCAGTTTATATAACAAAACCAAAAAAAAATCTACATTTGTAAGTTGCACTTTCACCATAAAGAGAGTGCACTACAGTACTTGTATGAAGTGAACTGAAAAGTACTCTTTTGTTTAGCATTTTTACAGTGCAAATATTTGTAATCAAAAATAATATAAAGTGAGCACTGTACACTTTGTATTCTGTGTTGTAACTGAAACCAATATATTTGAAAATGTAGAAAAGGATCCAAAATATTTAATAAATTTCAATTGGCACTATTGTTTAAGAGCGCAATTAAATCTGCCATTAATCAAAATTAATTTTTTGAATCATGATTAATTTTTTCAGTTAATCATGTGAGTTAACTGCGATTAAAATTGACAGCTTTAGTTTTACATTTTCTGGTGTTTGTGAGGAGACAGACTTAGGTTCTTGTTCCAACAAGATTAATATGAATGTTTTGGTTAGTGCTATATTGTTTTTTCCAGAACACTGACTGGTCTCTTTGAGAGCTTCTCATCGAGTATCAGGAGCGGTTTCTTTCTTGTTTTGTTGAAATATACATTTGATTTCAGAGATAGGGAAATGACTAAAAGGGTAATTCACCACACATCTGAAAGACCCATTTATGTTTCACATAATGCTCTCTGATCTTCTCTTCACTTAGAGCCTGATCCAAAACCTACTGAAGTCAGGGGTGTCTTTCGATTGACATCACTGGGCTTTGAATCAGTCCTTGAAGGCTACCTTGGAAGATTAAGATCTGGATTTATGGTCTGTTGAAATCCCACCCATAATAGCGAGCAAATTTAGAAGTGGGGCCATCTGGACACCAGTGTGCAGGAAACAGGAACTGGCAGCATGTAGTGGCATGTAACCAGGTAAGACTGAGTTTTTCCTCCCATATATGAATTCATATCCAGAATATCCCAACAGAACCAGCCATCCCCATGGGAGTACCACATTACACATACTCAGACCCACAACTGATTTAGCCATTTTACAGTGTCTCCTTGCATAGTTTGTAGTCTCCTTATTTAAACACATGTCCACAGAAAAATTACTTTTGCTAAATACCATGGAGACTACTTCCCCATTCAAAGTGCTACATATATAAATGCTAAAATTAACAAAACTAATGCTCTCAAAGTGCACATTAATAGTATGTGCTCCTACTTCAATTCCAAATTATGTAACCCCCAACTGGAATATACTTATTTGTTGTAAATTCTATTTTCAACTCGGCAGGACATAGCATAATATATGCACTACTGTAACAGAGAATTTTCGTGAATTTGGGAAATTCCATCTTTGGATTTTAAGATTAGATGTCAAATACACAGAAAAAGAAGAGAAGCTATAAATGACAGTAGATTTCCGCTGGTCTGTGTAAAGATTTGGAGGGGGACGGGGGGGGGGGGGGGAAGGCCAAGGTTACACACTAGAATACCAAAGGAAAATTACCTGAAGAGAAAGAATCGACTTTGTACAAGCATATGGATGGGCTCTGAGTTACAGAAAGAGGATCCTTTTATTGTTCTTGGAAGCTTCTTCACATAGCAATCTTCTGTCATTTAACAGGCACACCAGACATATGCCACACATCCTGGATCTATTTCTAGATCTTTGTTTTTCCTCCTAAAATTTCAGTTCTTTCATCTGTGTTTTATTTTAGGATTTTAGCCTGCTGTTTGCTTGCTTTGTTTGCCTGTTGTGCTTCTCTGACTCAGTTATCCTTGTTAATATGTTCTTAATTTCTGTTTGCAAAAAAAAGTCAGATTGATTTATAAAACCTCCATCTCTATTTGGATTACAGCTGTTATTTCTTATGTATCTGTCTGCTTGAAGAATCTCAAGTGTGGGGTAGGGGGGAAATAATAAATGAGGATTGTTATCTTCTGCCACAATCTCAGCACAGTTCTGTGCTGCAGAGCTCTGAGTGGTTACATTAGAAGCTATACAGCAAGTTAAAGCTAAAAATTTCCATTTGGTGGCTTCTTAGCGCACACGCCTATTTATGTTTGAGTGACTAAAAGGAAGAGTTTGTGTAGAGTTTGAGGGAGTTTTCACCAAGATCTTGTAGAGTTCCAGTCACACAGCTGTGCAGGATCAGTTTCTCTCATGGTCTCTAATCTCTTCTATTTCATAGAAATCTAACATCTATCTTGGACGTACACGAGCTCATTTTATCCCTGAACAATAAAGGCTCATTTGTGCCTTTTCCTAGGCGGAGAATACTGGAGAGCAAGAGTAGATTCAATCGCTGAAGCATCAGTGCCTGGAGGCAATTATGCCTAAGTGCTGGAGGGAGTATATTAGGAAGTGCCCCTTGCTACACTTGTTGAACAAGTGCAGCCAGAGTTTCTTGAGTACAGCTATGCAGGTGTGCGGGCAGGGCAGGATCATGCTTCACCCAGACACATCCTTTCTGTTTGTGTAATCAGTTCCACTGTTTCCTCTGTATACCCAGTATGACATTCTGTACCTCAAAATAGCACCCTGGAACTCCCATATTCACCACCGTGGTACGATTATGAATTGTTTTGTACAATGCATGCCTTGTGATGTACCATTTAAGAAGTCTTGATCTGTTGAAAATTACTATCTTGTTGAATTGTATGTACTATCATTGTATGTGAAGTTATGAAGTATTGTTATGTTTGTTACTGAAATATGTCGTAAGTGGGAAATGCCCACAACAAGCCTTTCAGTGGCAACAAAGGAGCAACTAACACGGACAAGACAGATTTACATCAGGACCAGCCAGACATGTGTTGATGGCCCATCAAGAAGAATCCACTCTTCCAGAGACTCCTCAGAGAGTGCACATATGGGCTACCTAACTCCCATGTCACAGCAAGGATCTTAGAGAGTTTTGCACCCCAGACTACTTTTTAGCCCATTTTAAAAAAAAGGAGTATGTTTTAAGTTGGTCATGTCCCTCTTAAGTTCTCAAAATGGTTCTGCAGGCCAAGGAATGCAAATAAAGCACTTTCTTTCATCACATACACACTGCATGTGTATATTGCCCACTGACATGCCAGCCTAGCGAGGAGGGCTTTAGACTAGGTTCAAAAGAGGCAGGTAACAAAAGCCCCAGGTAGATATAAAAAAAGGTGACCTCAATATTGAGTCAGATATTAAGAGAGGGGAATAGAAAATTACAATTGGCTCTTAGGAGCAACAAGATAGAAAATGACAGGTTTCAGAGTAACAGCCGTGTTAGTCTGTATTCGCAAAAAGAAAAGGAGTACTTGTGGCACCTTAGAGGTTAACCAATTTATTTGAGCATAAGCTTCCGTGAGCTACAGCTCACTTCATCGGATGCATACTGTGGAAAGTGTAGAAGATCTTTTTATACACACAAAGCATGAAAAAATACCTCCCCCCACCCCACTCTCCTGCTGGTAATAGCTTATCTAAAGTGATCACTCTCCTTACAATGTGTATGATAATCAAGGTGGTCCATTTCCAGCACAAATCCAGTGTTTAACAAGAACGTGTGAGGAGGGTGGGGGGTAGGAAAAAACAAAATGGTGGGGGAAATCTGCTCTATATTTCAGACATCTACACACAAATGCATGGAGTACAGGGAATAAACAGGAAGAACTGGATGTATTAGTCCTTTAGCTAAATTATGACTAAACTGCCATCACGGAGACCTAATGGGATAAATCTCATGATTGGTATAAAAGGGTATAACTTTACTCAGGAGGGACTGGCAGGGGAAAAAACTGAGAAGGCGTTATATTATACATCAAGATTACGTACACTTGTTCTAGAGTCCAAAAGAAGATGAGAGTCAGACTAATTGAGTATGCCTGGACGAAAACTAAAATGGGGGTGAAATGCACCACAGGAAATGTTGAAGACTGCAAGGTTACCAGGCAGAAAAGGCGCTTATACTTGGGTTCCTGGCAGGACCCAGAGAGAATCCTTGCCAAGAGCAAGATGACATCATTCAGATTAAATTTAGTGAGCATACAGAAGTTTCACCAAAAGTCAATGGCACTGGACGCATCATCTTGTTAGTGGATACAGTGTTTGAAATGAACCGTACTACTGGACAGTGGACCCAGCTCAAGTAGTACAAAACTATACCTGATGTTTCCTAAAAGATTCAGTAGCAACAAACTGTGGACCAAATCAAGCATAGAATCAGGTAGCACATATAGTGTGTCTCAGCTGTTCAAAATGGCATTCATGTGTCAGTTTCTTTACTTTCCAGAACACAAATTGTGGCTATCCAAACTAACTGGGTTTAGGTGACTGCAACAAGAAGATGGTGCCAAACTGACAAAGATCTTTTTAAAATAAAATAAAATAAAATAAAAATAAGGGGAAAAGAGTTAACATTTGTTCTGTGATTCAATATGCCAGAAATAAAGACTACAACTGAAAGTTTGCTTCCCAGGTTGGGAGCAGTTTAATTGCAAGCACCAGGGGAAAAAGGACAATTATAGAATCACAGTTTACCATTAAACAAAGACAGATTTTATTGCAGAAATATTTACATTGACTATATGGGTTTAGTTTAAATATGGACACTTGCACACTACAATATTTGCAGTTATTCCTGTAATTTGATTTCAGTAAATCTAACTACTGCAGGTGGTAGATGTCCAGCATTTAATAGCATCCACACTATATTTAGCCTGTCCTTGCCAGGGTCACAGGGAGATCTGAGAAGCTTTGTTAACTCTACTGTACTGGGGGGGGGGGGGGGGGGAGGGGAAAAAAAAAAAAAACAAACTTTCCCAAAAAAAAAGGAGGGTAGAAACACTAGGGGGAGGGGCTTTAATGACTTGAAAATCAAAAAGGAATCACTACAAAAGAACAGCCGGAGGGATCAGAAGGGGCCTCAAAAGGCTAAAAAGGTTAATTGTAATCACATACCTATCACAATATTAACATTAACAATAAGGGGGAAAAGGAAAACAAGCCAAAATATGGAAAGAACAGGTTAAAGAATATTTAGATAAGTTAGATGTATTCAAATCAGCAGCACCTGATGAAGTGTACCCTCAGGTATTTAAGGAACTAGCTAAAACTATCAGAACTGTTAGCAATTATCTTTGAGAACTCATGAAGGACCAGTGAGATCCCAGAGGACTGGAAAAGGGCAAACATGGTACCTATCTTTAAAAAGTGGGGGGAAAGAGGATCCAGGGAATTATGGATCAGTAAGCCTAACTTTGATACCTGGAAAGATACTGGCAATCAATTTGTAAGCACCTAGAGGATAACAGGGTTATAAGAAATAGCCAACGGGAAGCAGCGCAGGCCAAGGGATGTGCTGGCTGCTCTTCCTCCAGTCCCCATTGGCCTGGAGCAATTAACCGCGGCCTGTAGAAGCCACGATCGGCTGAACCTGCAGACGCGGCAGGTAAACAAACCGGCCCGGCCCACCAGGGGCTTTCCCTGAACAAGCGGCGGCATTAGTTTGAGAACCACTTGTCTAGATGAAATTACAAAAAAAATGGTTGAAAGACTGTACTCAAAGAGTAATTATCAGTGGTTCACTGTTACACTGGAACATAACCCCATGGGATTCTCAGGGGTCAATTCTGGGTCCAATACTCTTCAGTTGTTTCATTAACAACTCGGTAAAGGAGTGGAGAGTATGCTTATAAAATCTGTGGATGACACCAAGCTCAGAGGGATTGCAAACATCTTGGAAAACAAGATTCAAATTCAAAACAACTTTGTCATAAATATAAAGGGAAGGGTAAACCCCTTTGAAATCCCTCCTGGCCAGGGGAAAGCTCCTCTCACCTGTAAAGGGTTAAGAAGCTAAAGGTAACCTCGCTGGCACCTGACCAAAATGACCAATGAGGAGACAAGATACTTTCAAAAGCTGGGAGGAGGGAGAGGAACAAAGGGTCTGTGTCTGTCTGTATGCTGGGTCTTTGCCGGGGATAGACCAGGAATGGAGTCTTAGAACTTTTAGTAAGTAATCTAGCTAGGTATGTGTTAGATTATGATTTCTTTAAATGGCTGAGAAAAGAATTGTGCTGAATAGAATAACTATTTCTGTCTGTGTATCTTTTTTGTAACTTAAGGTTTTGCCTAGAGGGGTTCTCTATGTTTTTGAATCTAATTACCCTGTAAGATATCTACCATCCTGATTTTACAGGGGGGATTTCTTTATTTCTATTTACTTCTATTTTTTATTAAAAGTCTTCTTGTAAAAAACTGAATGCTTTTTCATTGTTCTCAGATCCAAGGATTTGGGTCTGTGGTCACCTATGCAAATTGGTGAGGCTTTTTATCCAACATTTCCCAGGAAAGGGGGGGTGCAAGTGTTGGGAGGATTGTTCATTGTTCTTAAGATCCAAGGGGCTGGGCCTGTAGTCACCTAGGCAAATTGGTGAGGCTTTTTACCAAACCTTGTCCAGGAAGTGGGGTGCAAGGTTTTGGGAAGGATTTTGGGGGGAAGGACGCGTCCAAACAGCTCTTCCCCAGTAACCAGTATTAGTTTGGTGGTGGTAGCGGCCAGTCCAAGGACAACGGGTGGAATATTTTGTACCTTGGGGAAGTTTTGACCTAAGCTGGTAAAGATAAGCTTAGGAGGTTTTTCATGCAGGTCCCCACATCTGTACCCTAGAGTTCAGAGTGGGGGAGGAACCTTGACAAACTTTGACAAATTGGAGAATTGGTCTGAAATGAACAAGATGAAATTCAATAGACAAGTCCTCAGTACTTCACTCAGGAAGGAAAAAAAAAAAAAAATCTACAAAATGGGGAATAACTCCTAGCTGGTTGCACTGCTGAAAACAATCTGAGAGTCATAATCACAAATTAAAAATGAATCAACAATGAGATGCCATTGCGAAAGCGCTAATATTCTGGGGTGTATTAACATGAGTGCCATATGTGAGTCACAGGAGATAACTGTCCCACTCTATTTGGCACTAATGATGCCTCAGCCAGAGTACAGTGTCCAATTCTGGGCACCACACTTCTGGAAAGATGGGGACAAATTGCAGAGTCTCTAAAAGCAATAGAACAATGCAAGGTTTAGAAAACCTGACCTATGAGGAAAGGCTAAAAATCTGTGCATGTTTAGTCTTGAGAAAAGACGACTGAGGTGGGACCGTCTTCAAATATGTTAAGGACTATTTATAAAAAGAATCGTGATGAACTGCTCTCCATGTCCACTGAAGATAGGACAAGTAGTAATGGGCTTAATCTGCAGCAAAGGAGATTGAGGTTAGAGATTAGGGAAAAATACTAAACTTAAGGATAGTTAAGCACTAGAATAGGCTTCGAAGGGAGGTTGGGGAATCCCCAGCGTTGAATGTTTTTAAAACAGGTTAGACAAACACCTATCAAGGATGGTCTAGATCTACTTGGTCCTGCCTCCACACAGGGAGGCTGGACAGGACGACCTCTGAAGTTCCCTTCCAACCCTACATTTCTGTGATTCTAGGTACTTGGAATGTGACAACAAGTACAATATAAGCAAGAAAAATTTAAACAAACATACAGGTGAAAAGAGAAAGCAAACCATTTACACTGAAACTGGCATCAAAACAGATCAACCACACTGGAAGGAAAGTTAGTGTTGCTACACAGTAAATCCCCTTCAGCTCCAAGCAGGCTTTATTGACCTTCAACACCACAAAGCAAACGGCAAGAAAGAAAATTGAGACTAGTGATACTCCAAGAACATGATTACTTAAAATTGTGTATGGTTTTCTCTGTACAAACCAGGCAGCCAATAAGACATCCACCTTCTGATAGTATTAAAACACCCGATATTGATTAAAGAACTCAAAAAAGTTTAACCTCAAACCAGTCAGAGCAATTGACCAATTATCTATTACAGACGTTCTCAAATAGTGGTCCACGGACCACAAGTGGTCCACGAGCTTCATTCAGCTGGTCCGCGGACAGTTCCCTCTAAGGTGCGCACCTGGGCGGCCACACACGAGAGAATAAAGGGCCACTCACATAATTGTGAAACTGCACAGGCATGGCTCCATGAATTAGGTGCCTGCACGCTGGAGAAGATGCACATGTAAGGTGAGGTGGTGGCCTTGGGGAAATAAAGGGAAGGTAAGAGGGGGCGGTGGGTTGACAAGAGAGGGTGGGGGGAATTTGGGACATGCAGGGCTGCAACGACCAGAGAAAGAGGCGACTTTCTCCAGCTCCAGGGCTACAGCTGCCGGGGAAAGACGCCCCTCCTTCCCAGCCCCAGCTCAGGGGCTGTGGCGGAGACAGGCCATATCCATTGCATTAGAAAGGTAAGACTTCTGATATTAAAATATGAGTTGTGTGCTTTTATTTGTACAACAAAAAACCATTAATTATTAAGGTTTTTATTTTTTTAATACAGTGCTTTTATCCAATGCGCTTTACAATAGTTAGCTAGCAGTACAAACAACATTTGGAACGATCATCGGCAGTCCGCCGAGACCCTCAGCAATTTTCAAGTGGTCCATGAAAAAAAAGTTTGACAACCACTGATCTAGTAGATATGCTCCCAATTTGTCCTTAAATACCCCATCAGTGATTTTCAATCTTTTTTCCATTTGCAGACCTCTAAAAAATTTCAAATGGAGATACAGACCTCTTTGGAAATCTTATACATAGTCTGCAGACCCTCAGGGGTCCATAGGTTGAAAACCACTGCTCTATGTTAATTAATGCCTGAAAGTTATAGCTAAAAAAGCCATTGCATAACTGAGGCAAACAAGTAGATAAAACTGTATCCAAAATTCAAAGCTACTGTGAAGAAAAAGGAGCATTAAAGGACAGCAAATATCAAACAACTAATAAGACACAGTACCCCAGGTTGCTATAAATTAAATTCAAATGGTGAAATAGGTCTTGAGGATGACTTTTTTGTTAAATTCTCCAAGCCTATTGGCTCCACACCATAAGCCTTAGCATCCATGAAATTGTCCTCAGAACCTACCATGTGTGCCAGGAAACGGGGGAGCTTGTAGCTAGTTTTGGCAGCTTACCTCCCTGGCTTCCCAGGCCTTCAGCTGCTGACCTGTTCTTGAGGATGCCTAGCCTGATAGTCTAGCATCTCCCCTCCCCCTCTTTGGAGATCAGCTCTCACTCCCTAAGTCTCCAACCCCTTCCTGCCTCACTTCATGGAAAAGTGCAGAGGGCATGAACTGTAATCCAATTAACTCTCCCTTAAGGGAAAAGCTGCAGAGGAAGAGAACTGCAGGGAGACAAAACAAAATTTTGGGTGCCTGTCTGCAGCAAAAGGTGAAGTTTGTGGCAGAAGTGCTGAATTCCACTGCATCTTGAAAAAAAATGCCAGTTGTGCAGCTACGTAACTACAGAGTTCACAAGGCCATGAATGACAGGAATAGGACAGATCACACCTCTCACAGTAGTTCTCTTCAGATTCAGGCAGATGTCATTGATTCGTGTACCCCAGTTCACATTTTAGAATCTTGCAACTATAATTACAACTATTTATATTTGTGTTGCATTTGCAACTAAAGTCCCCAGTCGTGGATCAGGGCTTTATTGTACTGGGAACCACACAAACATGGGCTAGAAACATTTTTAAAATTGAAGGTCAAATTCTGGAGCTCAGCTCAGTGGCAAAGTGAATTCTGTGGCAAATTCGGTAGTAGTGGAATCAATGACTACACAGGGCCATGCATAAAACCTTCCCTCTCAAGGAAATCCTAATGTTCAGAGCAAAATTAACTATTCTCCAAAACCTCTTTAGAAAATAGCTGAATTGTTTTTGTTTAAAACTTTAACAGTGAAAGTTTGGTAAAGTTATAACGAAATGAAAACAGAGGCTTATGAAGTCAAGCATTAAGTAACCTCATTTAAGGATTTAAAAAGCTGTGGCCTCTTATATAAGATAGGGAAGGGGGCGGGTGGGGGTGATTAGAGATTTTCACACACACCCCAGAGCAGGGAGCTCTACTGAAAAATAAGTTTCCTTTTAAGTTTCTACTAAGGTCTGGAAAAACAATTTTTGCCAATCAAAAGTGAATAAAAACCATACTTCACCCAACCCACAACTTAAATTTATTCATTCATTCATGTTTTCAGTATCTAGAAAAATTTCTTACCAGAAACAAGGCTCCTCCACCTCCACTGCGCACAGCTGTTTTATGCAAGTAGCGGATCTGTCTCACCTTTAAACAACATTTTTGAAGTATTAAAAACTATAGGTAAAATTTAAGTGCTTAATTGCCATACACTGCTTTCAGTAACAGTTTGATTTCTATACCAATCATAATAAAACACAACCAAAAGACCGAGTGGTTTATTATTTGACAAGGCAAAGTGGAGAATATTAAAGACCTCTCCTGATATCAGGAGTATCTTTGTATATTTAACACACCCTGGTCACTGCAGATTAAATTAGAAAGTAAACCCTGCCATCTTGAAGCCAGAATTTTACATAACTTAATATCCTCTCCTCATATGTAAGCATATATCAAACAATGTACTAAATAATTTACTGCCGCAACACAGTATTTATAAATTTATAAATACATGTCAGCCATGTATGTTTTTAAATGTATGCATAAACTAGTTTCAAATCTAATGCATTTAGGGAAGTCTGGAAGTCCCAGTAGGTGCCTATCCACATCTTTAGGCACCGAAGTATCTTTGTAAATCTGGCCCTGTCCAAAAGATGAGGAGTACTTATGGCACCTTAGAGACTAACAAATTTATTTGAGCATAAGCTTTCGTGAGCTACAGCTCCCTTCATTGGATGCATTCAGTGCACATCCGATAAAAAGTACTCCTTTTCTTTTTGCGAATACAGACTAAACACGGCTGCTACTCTGAAACCTGTCCAAAAGATGTGTATCTTTTTCAAAAAATGAAACCTCTAAGTATCAGAGTTAGAAGTGTTAGATTAGACCTTATTTTTAATCTAACTCTTTGATTGGTACGAGAGAGACCATAGTAAGGGAATTAGAAGGATTATTAACCTATGTTTAGTCTTAGTTACAAGAGAAATGCATTGTTAGCAGCAATACTGGAAATCTATTTTTCCGAGTAGAAAAAGACCTCTTATTTTCCAAACTTTAGTCCTAATAACCCAAGATACATATCAAGTATTCATTTCCTTAAAACTAGCCTTTTCCAGTTTGAAAGTAGAGACATGAACTTTATATCTCACTGATCTTAAACAAACATATAGGTAGTCATAAATTTGGCAATGTCAAGTCTGCTAAAGATCAAAGAGATAGAGAACAAAAGAGATACATCTCGCAGGTGTATGTCATGAGGGGCTAAAAAAAGACTACACACTACCCCTCGTTTTTATAGAAAATTTTGGTGTGTATGGAGCTATTTATTTATGGAGCCAGATAAACAGTATTCTGCCTCAAGGAATATATAAACCATAAACACAAATACAATACACAAAAGAAAAACAAATCAACCAACAATCACTGTGGTTAGACTGGTTTCAGAGTAGCAGCCGTGTTAGTCTGTATTCGCAAAAAGAAAAGGAGGACTTGTGGCACCTTAGAGACTAACCATTTTTTTTGAGCATAAGCTTTCGTGAGCTACAGCTCACTTCATCGGATGCTGTAGCTCACGAACGCTTATGCTTAATCGGTTAGTCTCTAAGGTGCCACAAGTCCTCCTGTTCTTTTTGTGGTTAGACTGTATCACACATGACAGAAATCATAACTAAGAAGTGTGCGCACAGCCCCATGGACCCCTCCTCCTCCTCCTCCTCCTCCATACCCCCCGAGCCCCTCCTCTCCTGACTTTACTGGGGGAGGATTTCCCCCCTTTCTGCGGGGGGTGGGGGTGTGACATGGGCCGGGCTCCCGGGGAGCTGAAGGCCGCTGTGCCCTTGCCGGCTGCCTCGGGCCTGTCCCTACCAAGGAAGCCGTCTCTCGCCGCGGCGCCTGGAAGAACCCGGGGCGGGGGAGGAGGGCGGGAGCGGCACCTCGGTCGCGGGTTTCCTTACCGAGTGCGCGGCCGCGGCACCGGCAGCGCGAACAGGAGCAGCGAGAAACATGGCGCCGGCCCTGCAGGCCGCAGCCCCGCTCACTGCAGCCGCCACTCGGAGCCCGCGCACCTCCTCCCCTTACCGCTCCCTCCCACTGTGCCGCCGGCGTCGGCGTCAGCGCGGGAGCGCGCACGCCTCACGTTCGGGGGCCGCGCGCTGTTGCCGGCCGGGCCGGGCCGGGAGAGGGAGGAAGGAGCGCGCGCTCCAGCACAGCCTCGTGCGCGCGCCGGCCCCTGTCTCCAAGGGTTGGGTGGGAGCGAGGCGTGAGGGCAGCCGCCGGGGCTCAGGAGCTGTATTAACCCTCGGCGGTACCTCAGGCCCCGCGCACGGGGTTGCTGGGCGACTCGCCGGCGCTGCTCTGGCGCCAGGCACCGTGCGCCCCGTACCCAGCCCTGTACCACAAGCATTGCCCACGGGGTGGGGAGCAAGGGCAAAACACCTGTTTGTTCCCCTGCACTGGCACCTCTGCTGCCAATGAAAAAGATCCCCAAATCTCATTATTGTTAAACGAATCTTATTATTTTATGGGGGGCAGTGCTTAATTTGTGCCAGGGCAGATTCCCAGCACCTCTAGCCCTGGCAGTTCATGATAGCCCCAGCACCTCTGGGCTTGCCAGGTCAGTTTATGAAAGATTTAAAAAAAATTGCTTGAGCCATGGCACCTCTTTCATTACAAATTAAGCACTGGTGGGGGGCGGGGGAAGGGGATGCTCTTGTTTTTTGAAGGTTGGCAGTACTGCAGCAGCAGCACCCACAGTGTACTCTTGCAATCTACACATACAAGAAGAGACCACATTTGATCAGTGATCATTAGAGTGACCACTTGCATTTCCCGATTGCCAGACATTCTGGGACTGACGTGGCCCCCAGCCGGTCCTGGCGTGGCATCGCACTCACTGTGCATGCCAGGTCACACTGCGCTGGGGAACCATTCTGAAGAGGGTAATGCCCCACCACCACTCTCATGCCAGCAGAGGTAAAGTGGCATACTCTTCAAAATGGTGTCCCCCATCTGATACCAGACAAAAGCATGTCCAATTTTGTTTCAGTCTTGGACTGGGGACAAACCATCCAAAAAAAGGCCTGTCAGATTTAAAACCAGGCAAGTGTCCTCCCTAGTCACAGTGCTCTCAGAGAGCTACACAAATATAGTTAAAATAAGGGGGGTGCTCTCCTGTCCCTGCTGTCCTATCAGTGGCAGATCCATGGTGGAAAATGAGCACACTCAGGGCTGATACTAGCTACCAGATTGTAAATGGGATGTGCTGCTGGCATCTCCACCCCATTTGTAAGGACAGAGCTACAAAAGTGCATGCAAACTCTTCAGAAGAGGGATGTGTTTACTGAAGCAATTAAGAGGTTTGAATTTTCCTAAAGTTGTGCACATCCCCTGCAAAATGCAGAGAAAATTCCACAATGTAATGCCCTTTTATATCCAGCTGTCCCTCCAACAGCAAAAAGTTCTCCTGTCAAAGCCCAGAAATATTAAACAGGGCACAAAGGAGAACACTTTTATTAGCAATCTTGGTAACAATTCCCTGCCACAGCATGGATAGCACAGTGAACCTGAACCTCATGGTTCAGGAGCTCACCACATATGTCAGCATACTAGAAAGTGCCAACACATAACTGGTGATACTGAAAGAGAAAGGCTATCCTGACTGTTTTGCCTACGAACTCATTGTTCCTATCCTGTTGAATGCATATTGTGTAACAAACTACATAAACAAACCCCAAGATCTGTATCATCAACCAGAACCTTCGATAAACATTAACTCCCCATATCACACTTTAGACAGAAGAATAATTATTCCCTTTTTGAACAAATATACATTTGTAATAATAAAAGAGTAAAGGAAATTACATTGTAGGGACTAATGTGTCATTAATAACCACAGTTTTTCCTTCTCATCTTCCTCATTAGGCAGGGCTGTGGGGATATTTGAAGCTTGAGCTGCAGGCATTCATATTGTTATCACCATGGGTCAGCAAAAGGCTTTGTTCAGTTGCTCTATTAATCCCTGACCCGTAATAACCTTTCCCATTTTACGTTAAAATTCACCATGTACAGCTAAGATATTTGAACTGGAGGAAATTAATCTGATTAGATAACTGAATAATTTTCTTCCTCAGACACAGCATGACATATTTGTAAAAGGCAGAGTGGCACAAACCCAACAGCTACGCTTCCTGGGTAGTGCAGGTACTGGACCCCCATTCAAAGTTGTTCATTGGTTTGATCGGGTTTGGCTTTTAATTTATGTCGAAATGAAAGTCAAATTTAATAAGTAATTTTCATTTGAATTATGAATTTTTGCAACTGTTGATGTCATTTTCTTTCTTTTAAGTCCATCAACATGACACTCAGAAGCCTGAAGAGACCAGCACAAGACCAAAATATATGGCAGAAAATGGTAGACATCGTATGTTTCTATTTATACAAGGCAATTGAATAATGTGTTTGGTGGTGGCCCCTATACAATTAATGTGTCATTAACACCATGCATTTCCTATTATATAGTCAGAGGTTTATTAATTTAGTGATTTATGAGCACTAGTTTGCAAGGAATGTAGGAACATTCCATGAATCTATCATATATTCCCTTTGTTATTCATAGATTTGAATTCCTAAGGCGGGTGCCTTAAATTCCTAAGGCGGGTGCCAATAAAACATGAAAATATTGGTTTAGCATCAGAATCTTTAATCTGTGTTTGAGCATCTCTGCACCATTATACTTGTGTTCATAGATATTTAGGTCATAAGTGACCATTATGATCATCTAGTCTGACGACCTGCACAACGCAGGCCACAGAATTTCACCCACCACTCCTGCAAAAAACCTCTCACCTATGTCTGAGCTATTGAAGTCCTCAAATCGTGGTTTAAAGACTTCAAGGAGCAGAGAATCCTCCAGCAAGTGACCCGTGCGCCATGCTACAGAGGAAGGCGAAAAACCTCCAGGGCCTCTTCCAATCTGCCCTGGAGGAAAATTCCTTCCCGACCCCAAATATGGCGATCGGCTAAACCCAGAGCATATGGGCAAGATTCACTAGCCAGATACTACAGAAAATTCTTTCCTGGGTAACTCAGATCCCACCCCATCCAATATCCCATCACAGGCCATTGGGCCTATTTACCATGAATATTTAATTACCAAAACCATGTTATCCCATCATACCATCTCCTCCATAAACTTATTGAGTTTAATCTTAAAGCCAGATAGATCTTTTGCCCCCACTGCTTCCCTTGGAAGGCTATTCCAAAACTTCACTCCTCTGATGGTTAGAAACCTTCGTCTAATTTCAAGTCTAAACTTCCTGGTGGCCAATTTATATCCATTTGTTCTTGTGTCCACATTGGTACTGAGCTTAAATAATTCCTCTCCCTCTCCGGTATTTATCCCTCTGATATATTTATAGAGAGCAATCACATCTCCCCTCAACCTTCTTTTAGTTAGGCTAAACGAGCCAAGCTCCTTGAGTCTCCTTTCATAAGACAAGTTTTCCATTCCTCGGATCATCCTAGTAGCCCTTCTCTGTACCTGTTCCAGTTTGAATTCATCCTTCTTAAACATGGGAGACCAGAACTGCACACAGTATTCCAGGTGAGGTCTCACCAGTGCCTTTATAACGGTATTAAAACCTCCTTATCCCTACTGGAATAGCAGCCTTTAAGCAGCCTTTTAACTGTCTAAGGAACTAATCTCAGGCTAATATATGGGGTGGAGAATCAAGTATATGAGACCAGAGAACTAGGAAAAGCAAATCAACAAAAAGCCTAGCCTGTCACAGTCTGAATGATTGTAGGATCTCCTAAAATTCATAAATGAAGAAGGGCCAGCAGAAAGGCAACCCCTCAGCGACTGCAGAGACAGATTTAAAAAGCAATAGTCCTCCCACAGGGTCAGCACCACAGACTACTTGGCTTGTACAAACTGAAAAACATTCTGTGTTAAAAAATGGAAATTACAATACAGACACACAAAATCTTTATTCAAAGACACTTGTCAAGTGTCTCTTCATTGGTGCAAACTCCTAGTGTAAACTGTTATAAACCTTGATTTGCCCCAGTGTAGTTTTTCCTGGTTTCAAGCAGGGTTAAGCTGCACAGGTGGAAATCATGGCTTATAGCAGTTTTGTTTGCCTACACAAGGGGCTTGCACTAGATTGTGATTGACAGCATGACTGTAACACCAAAAAGTTATCCACAGAGCAGTTTTTGAAAAAACAAACAAACAAACAAACAAACAAAAACCAGGTACGGGCTCAATGTGTTAAGTAATACTTCAGAACAAAATATAATATACAAGTACTCATATAGTCAGACATATATTAGAGGTGCTTTTCTGGGCCACACTGTGTTCACTCAGTGCTGGGTGGATGACAGCTCCTTTACAGACAACATGACTCAATAATAAGGGAGTGATTGTGATTTGGACTATGCATCTGTGCAGAGGCATAAATGAGAGGAAAAGCCCCCAGTACACCCATGTATGTGCTACTTCTGTCTTGGGTCTGGACACACAGCAGTACATAGACAATGCACACCTACATTTTCTTACCAGAGAGGTGAGCAAAGAAAGGAGAGAAATGGTCAGAGTCTGCTCCTCACACACTCTCCATGCTTTAGCTTTACTGACTGGGATGGGAGGAGGGAGGTATCATAATTTGCTGCAGATATAGGACAGCAACAAATTACTAATTCCTTCCCCTCACCTCTCAGAGCAAGGGGAAATCAAAGAGGAAACTGTGCCTTAGGGGGTGTCTGCAGCACAGTGCCTCTCTGGGATATAATTAGGGTGTTGCAAGAAATGTACTACCAATTTCTCATGAATGTACTTAAGGCACTATCTAGCTTTACTAGCAACTGCAAGTTAATTCCCTGCTGAATAATTCCTCAGTTTCTAGAAGTTTCTTTACCACTAAATTACTTTCACAACATACCACACTTTAAGCAGAGGAAACAGTTGCATTTAGTAGTATTCCAGATATTGGCTATTCAGACAGAAAGAATGGAGCTGCTCCAAATTGATTCTACAAACTTGGGCTTTGCTCCTGCATCAAAATTTCTTAGTATGTACCCCTTCACACATGTGGAAACCCATTGATGTCAATGT